GGTTTTATCTCCCTCATGCTGCAGTTTAATATGGATACATACTTATGAGTGGGCTATTATTGGTTTTATCTCCCTCATGCTGCAGTTTAATATGGATACATACTTTATGAGTGGGCTATTATTAGTTTTATCTCCCTCATGCTGCAGTTTAATATGGATACATACTTATGAGTGGGCTATTATTGGTTTTATCTCCCTCATGCTGCAGTTTAATATGGATACATACTTATGAGTGGGCTATTATTAGTTTTATCTCCCTCATGCTACAGTTTAATATGGATACATACTTATGAGTGGGCTATTATTGGTTTTATCTCCCTCATGCTGCAGTTTAATATGGATACATACTTATGAGTGGGCTATTATTAGTTTTATCTCCCTCATGCTGCAGTTTAACATGGATACATACTTATGAGTGGGCTATTATTAGTTTTATCTCCCTCATGCTGCAGTTTAATATGGATACATACTTATGAGTGGGCTATTATTGGTTTTATCTCCCTCATGCTGCAGTTTAATATGGATACATACTTATGAGTGGGCTATTATTAGTTTTATCTCCCTCATGCTGCAGTTTAATATGGATACATACTTATGAGTGGGCTATTATTAGTTTTATCTCCCTCATGCTGCAGTTTAATATGGATACATACTTATGAGTGGGCTATTATTAGTTTTATCTCCCTCATGCTGCAGTTTAATATGGATACATACTTATGAGTCGGCTATTATCAGTTTTATCTCCCTCATGCTACAGTTTAATATGGATACATACTTATGAGTGGGCTATTATTGGTTTTATCTCCCTCATGCTGCAGTTTAACATGGACACATATTTATGAGTGGGCTATTATTAGTTTTATCTCCCTCATGCTACAGTTTAATATGGATACATACTTTATGGGAGTGGGCTATTATTGGTTTTATCTCCCTCATGCTGCAGTTTAATATGGATACATACTTATGAGTGGGCTATTATTAGTTTTATCTCCCTCATGCTACAGTTTAATATGGATACATACTTATGAGTGGGCTATTATTGGTTTTATCTCCCTCATGCTGCAGTTTAATATGGATACATACTTATGAGTGGGCTATTATTAGTTTTATCTCCCTCATGCTGCAGTTTAATATGGATACATACTTATGAGTGGGCTATTATTAGTTTTATCTCCCTCATGCTGCAGTTTAACATGGATACATACTTATGAGTGGGCTATTATTAGTTTTATCTCCCTCATGCTGCAGTTTAATATGGATACATACTTATGAGTGGGCTATTATTAGTTTTATCTCCCTCATGCTGCAGTTTAACATGGATACATACTTATGAGTGGGCTATTATTAGTTTTATCTCCCTCATGCTACAGTTTAATATGGATACATACTTATGAGTGGGCTATTATTGGTTTTATCTCCCTCATGCTGCAGTTTAATATGGATACATACTTATGAGTGGGCTATTATTGGTTTTATCTCCCTCATGCTACAGTTTAATATGGATACATACTTATGAGTGGGCTATTATTAGTTTTATCTCCCTCATGCTGCAGTTTAAATATGGATACATACTTATGAGTGGGCTATTATTAGTTTTATCTCCCTCATGCCGCAGTTTAATATGGATACATACTTATGAGTGGGCTATTATTAGTTTTATCTCCCTCATGCTGCAGTTTAATATGGATACATACTTATGAGTGGGCTATTATTAGTTTTATCTCCCTCATGCTGCAGTTTAATATGGATACATACTTATGAGTGGGCTATTATTAGTTTTATCTCCCTCATGCTGCAGTTTAATATGGATACATGCTTATGAGTGGGCTATTATTGGTTTTATCTCCCTCATGCCGCAGTTTAACATGGATACATACTTATGAGTGGGCTTATGAGTGGGTTATTAGTTTTATCTCCCTCATGCTGCAGTTTAACATGGATACATCCTTATGAGCGGCCCTATCTCCCTCATGCCGCAGTTTAACATGGATACATACTTATGAGTGGGCTATTATTAGTTTATCTCCCTCATGCTGCAGTTTAACATGGATACATACTTATGAGTGGGCTATTATTAGTTTTATCTCCCTCATGCTGCAGTTTAATATGGATACATACTTATGAGTGGGCTATTATTAGTTTTATCTCCCTCATGCTGCAGTTTAATATGGATACATACTTATGAGTGGGGGCTATTATTGGAGTGGGCTATTTTATCTCCCTCATGCCGCAGTTTAACATGGATACATACTTATGAGTGGGCTATTATTAGTTTTATCTCCCTCAAGCTGCAGTTTAACATGGATACATCCTTATGAGCGGCTATTATTGGATCTAATCTCCCTCATGCCGCAGTTTAACATGGAAATATACTTATGAGTGGGCTATTATTAGTTTTATCTCCCTCATGCCGCAGTTTAACATGGATACATACTTATGAGTGGGCTATTATTAGTTTTATCTCCCTCATGCTGCAGTTTAATATGGATACATACTTATGAGTGGGCTATTATTAGTTTTATCTCCCTCATGCTGCAGTTTAATATGGATACATACTTATGAGTGGGCTATTATTGGTTTTATCTCCCTCATGCTGCAGTTTAATATGGATACATACTTATGAGTGGGCTATTATTAGTTTTATCTCCCTCATGCTGCAGTTTAATATGGATACATACTTATGAGTGGGCTATTATTAGTTTTATCTCCCTCATGCTGCAGTTTAATATGGATACATACTTATGAGTGGGCTATTATTGGTTTTATCTCCCTCATGCTGCAGTTTAATATGGATACATGCTTATGAGTGGGCTATTATTAGTTTTATCTCCCTCTCTGCAGTTTCATGCATACTTTATGCAGTTTAATATGGATACATACTTATGAGCGGGCTATTATTAGTTTTATCTCCCTCATGCCGCAATTTAACATGGATACATCCTTATGAGCGGGCTATTATTAGTTTTATCTCCCTCATGCCGCAGTTTAATATGGATACATGCTGATGAGTCGGCTATTATTAGTTTTATCTCCCTCTTGCCGCAGTTTAACATGGAAATATACTTAAGAGCGGGCTATTATTGGATCTAATCTCCCTCATGCCGTGGGCGGTGGGGTAGCCTAGTGGTTAAATCGTTCGCTCGTCACGCTGAAGACCCGTGTTCGATTCCTCACATGGGTACAGTGTTTGAAGCCCATTTGTGGTGTCCCCCGCCGTGATATTGCTGGAATTTTGCTAAAAGCGGCGTAAAACCATATTCAGTCAGTCAGTCGGTCAGTCCCTCATGCCGAGCGTGAGGCACGGTAACAACAATTATCATATTGTAAAGCCTGTCGGTATGAAGCGATCAGGTCCCGGAATTTCCAAACGACCTCAGTCCCCAAATTATCTTAGGAATCGAAAGACTGTTTTAGTTGATTATTTATATACCGTATCCCTAAGATATCGTAAGAATGTCGTAAACAGAATCCAACATGAGGGTGAGTGGGTACGTGCGTGTTCCAGTGTTTGGGGGAAACAACATCCAGGTGCGCGTTTTCCAGCAGACACTGATAGAGACAGACGTACGTTAAAGGCCAGGGAGATACCTGCTTGACTCACGGCCAATCTCGTGAGACGGGGACAACAGCTGATAGGTCACCGTGACATTATGATTATCGGGTGACCTTCACCTCATGGCAATGGACTGTGTGAAGAGGGTGATAGTATCGGGCTCTCTATCGGTCAAGTGTGATGAATAAGCTGTATATTTTTTTCTTGTTAAGGTTGAGTTGACTATATATAGGAGTGAAAGTCAAAAGAAGTCCATCGCTTTTTAGTCTTGTAATGCCCTCGACGGGTGTTGCAGTACCGTAAAAGTATTGTCCCCATGAGAGGGTATGTAAGTCCATGTCTCTGTAGGTATTTTTATATCTACTAGTTTTTAATCGTAGTATGTAGGTTATTTTAATTTATGACTACAATTGCTAACATCTGAAGGGATGGTGTAAATCCAACTAAGGTCCATGTAGGTAGGAAAAGTACTGTCAGTTCCCATGGTCCTTATTTGCATGGTGATCTTCCTTCAGTTGTTGGCCATCTATAACTTGTCTTTATATTGTCTTGTCATCTAAAGTGAAAATGTTTTAGATTTAATTACTAGTTTTATATCTGTGATGTTCTAGTTGTTTTTACTCTCTTTCGTTGAGTTTTTATAATTTACCTATAATTACTTCAAATCGATAACTTAATTTAGATACGATATGGCTGAAATACTGCTGACGTGTCTTCAAATCTTAACTCACTTCTCACTTTAGTCTTGTGAGAAGTAATGGCTCAGCCAAGTGATTGACGTTGTGTTGAACCAAGTCTCATAAGGAAATATCTGACTGTGTCCAGAGAGGCACCGCATCGGCGTAAAATATATTTAAAGAGAATGTGTTTATATCTGGTAAACCAGTGGTTGAAAGGGTGAACACCGAACCACCCATGGGGAGCAATGACGCACTATCACCGAATCAGACCCCTTTCAGTGGACCTTTACACGCATACATTACTGTGGGAACCCGGGGTTACCGAGGGGTTATGCAACCCAATTCTGGTGTCCTCCGCCGTGATGTTGTTGGAACTTTGATTCATCTCGTGTGTATGTACTCATAAGTACACACGATAGATATGATTTATCACTTATTGCTGACACATATTCTTTGATTGTAGGCCAGTCATTTGAATATATAGAGAGTTCACCTTCGTCTGATAAGAGAGTGAGTGAGTGAGCGAGCCTTACATCACAGTCAGATATGTTGCTGGTTTGGGAGAGTATCCAGACAAACCAGTGACTGGGTGTATTTAAACAAACCAGGATGTCAATGAGCCGAAACGAAGAATGTATTTGCATATAAACAGTAACTACAATCTCTATTTAGGCAGTAAGAGATTGGGCGATAGACGGAAGATCGGATATGTCATATATCTTCTTGCTGATATCAAAAGTACACACACGTCACGTGACTCGATTGATGTCACATGACGTTGAGATAGATACACTAGTGTTTAATTTGACACGATGATGTAAACCACTTTCCTGGCAGGAGTGACTGTTAATAGTCAGCACTTCAAAATGTCACATCGGAATCATCGGACACTGTTCCGGCTCGGTGTCATGGTGGCGGTCGCCGTTGTTTTACTGTCATGTAACCGAGCTCTGGGCTTGTTAAATTCACAACACACCTGGACAGATATGTCACAAAATGGACAAAGCTACATTGGCCGGGACCTTAAATGGATCGGAGAAGACCCATTATTGAAACAACGAAGTTTGAGAGGCGATGGTAATGTGGAGGTGAGGATGCAGCATTCGGCTATTTATATTTGGAGAACAGCCAGTTGAGGTTTCCCGTAGCTATATATAGAGTACCGGAAATGACGTACTTAATATTATGGGGAATCCCCTTCGTGGCGGCAATAATGTGGGTCGTGATGTGTGAAATCAGAGACCATATTTTATGGTCTCTGGTGAAATGTCGAGTTTCGTAAAAACTGTTCCCCGTGATATTCTTCCTGGTTCAAAGGGACAGACTGACTGATCAGAAAGATGTATGTTTGTTTCATGTGGCTTTCATTTGTAAAAATTGAGAATGTTTGCATGATTTTATTTCTTAGAGAGAATTAACGTTTTGACGGTATGCACTACATGTATTTAGCAATACTCTGTTATAACCAGCTGGTTATAACAGGTTGGTTGGTTCTGTATTTTCATGAAATCATTAATACTGTTTGAATCTTCATTCACTTCCTGTTTCATTAAAATTTTAGAAAGCTACTGATATTTTGACAATCTGGCAGTGCTAAGAAGTCTAGACAAACTCTGTTTCTATGGTAACTCAGAGATGATGATGTTGACTATCCTTGTCATATACTCTGTTTCACACACAGTATCATCTTTGGAGCCCCAACTTAAGTCACCATTACCCAGGTAATTCTGACCATGGAAATACCTATGGAAATATACGACTGGATACTCTGCTAAAGTACCCAATTTATCTTTTTCAATTTGCATGCCTAAACTGTATATGATCGTGTGCATGCATCACACATATGAACTCTGCTGCAGTGAATGCATGCATATTCTATAGGAGTTCCTTATTGTTACGTAGACACTGTTAATGTTTTGATTTTCAAAATGTATATTCTGTTGAGTTTATGTGACACTCTTATGGTAGCCCGCAAACGTTGTGTGAGTGAGTATGGTTTTACACCGCTTTTAGCAATTTCAAGCAATATATCATGGCGAGGGAAACAAGAAGTGGGCTTCACGTATTGTACCCATGTGGGGAACTGAACCCAGGTCTTCGGGGTGAAGCACGTCTGCTCTAACCGCACATGGCATAGCCTAGTGGTTAAAACATTCATACAAATTTGATCAGAAATAACTTTAATAATTATTGATGTACAAATATCCAGCAGATTTGTCCCAAGGGAGTAAATATGCTTTGAATGCAGCAAGAAAACCGACAGTGGCAGTGATCATGGTGATAATACTGATATCTTGTGAGTTAATAGATGTAGTGCCTCCAAAACGTTCCATGTTTCTGCATGTTGACTTTTCATTGTGAGATGTGGTACAGACACTAGTCCCTTTGTGCTCAACAACTGGGTGGAACAAGGGGCTGTATGCATGAACAACTGGGTGGAACAAGGGGCTGTATGCATGAACAACTGGGTGGAACAAGGGGCTGTATGCATGAACTACTGGGTGGAACAAGGGGCTGTATGCATGAACAACTGGGTGGAACAAGGGGTTGTATGCATGAACAACTGCATGGAACAAGAGGCTGTATGCATGAACAACTGGGTGGAACAAGGGGTTGTATGCATGAACAACTGCTGTGTGGAACAAGGGGCTGTATGCATGAACAACTGGGTGGAACAAGGGGCTGTATGCATGAACAACTGGGTGGAACAAGAAGCTGTATGCATGAACAACTGGGTGGAACAAGGGGTTGTATGCATGAACAACTGGGTGGAACAAGGGGCTGTATGCATGAACAACTGGGTGGAACAAGGGGCTGTATGCATGAACAACTGGGTGGAACAAGGGGCTGTATGCATGAACAACTGGGTGGAACAAGGGGCTGTATGCATGAACAACTGGGTGGAACAAGGGGCTGTATGCATGAACAACTGGGTGGAACAAGAGGCTGTATGCATGAACAACTGGGTGGAACAGGGGCTGTATGTATGCATGAATGAACAACTGGGTGGAACAAGGGGTTGTATGCATGAACAACTGGGTGGAACAAGGGGTTGTATGAATGAACAACTGGGTGGAACAAGGGGCTGTATGCATGAACAACTGGGTGGAACAAGGGGCTGTATGCATGAACAACTGGGTGGAACGGGGCTGTATGCATGAACAACTGGGTGGAACAAGGGGTTGTATGCATGAACAACTGGGTGGAACAAGAGGCTGTATGCATGAACAACTGGGTGGAACAAGAGGCTGTATGCATGAACAACTGGGTGGAACAAGGGGCTGTATGCATGAACAACTGGGTGGAACAAGGGGCTGTATGCATGAACACAGAGATAGCACTGGATGAGCAATGTTGAAGCCACGAGAGGAAGTCTGTCCCAACAAGGTGGTAAGACTTCACGGAGCTGTTAGATAAAGGTGCTATCATCACTACAAGCCATCACATATAGAATACATATCAAATGTATACCTACAGGCTATTATTGTCCACACATGTGACATTTTCAAGGTATTATAACACCACAAACAGCAGCCTAGGTTTGTTATTGTGAGTGAAATGCTGGATATTGTCTAGCAGTCTGTCAGGTGACTGAGCAGGGTGACATGTTAATGAGAAATCAATAAACAAAGTACCATTTGAAACATATCAGATATTTACATTTGTCTGATCTAACTACATTTGAAAATAACATGACAAAATAAATGTACATTCTAGCTGTTTTCAATTTTGCGGTCCTTTATCGTTGATTTAAGACCGCTAAATGTAATTTAAAAACCGAACACGTTAAAATCAACGATAAAGGACCGCAGAATTGAAAACAGAGTAGCTTATCTTCTAATTATGTTTGCAAAAAGCTGATACATGTTACATATGGATATCTAATATATAGAACCCTGTAGCGTGTATCATCACACCTGGAGTCAGTGTGGTAGATATTTTGACATTATGTTTATGGCATTGTGTATTCATGTTTATATTGTATTTTGACAAAATGTTTATATTGTATATTGACATTGTTTACATTGTATATTGACATTATGTTTATATTGTATTTTGACAAAATGTTTATATTGTATTTTGACATTGTTTATATTGTATTTTGACAATATGTTTATATTGTATTTTGACAATATTTCAGTGCCGTGACTTCCACACAATGCCTAATCTGACAGACATCTGTAAGTTTGTGAACACGACAGACGACTGCCAGATCGACGAAGGCTTCATTGACTACACTGTGTTCGTGTATTGCACTCTGGGTACTCTGGTTCCGCTGGCGCTAGTCATACTTGTAAGTGTGGAGTTCTCTCAGATTCTCCCCAAATGTATTTCCTTGCACTGTAAATATATTTTCTTAAATTGCTGAATTTGCTTGCCATGGCATGTTAAATATTGAAATGGCGTGGATGAAATAAGTTCAATGTGCTCCGATGGCCAGACTAAAGTTATAAAAATAATACGCACCATGATTCATTTAATGATAAACGTGATAAATTTGACCAACTCTAACTCCAAAGGTATTTTCACACCCCTTAAACAGTTTATTGGCGGAAGTCTCACAGTTTAAAATGGGTGAGGCCATTTTGAATACCAGTGAGCATAACAGGAAAGTTGTTTTGGAAGATAACCTAGTTTGTGGGGTAGTTTATGGGTCCGGGACAAATAAGCTGAACGTATTGATAGTCATGATAGTATTGAGGAAATCCACCTCTCACGTTTACAGGTTAGACAACACTTAGTCTCTGAATATATGTAATTTGGATAGTAACAAATAATCCCAGTTACATTGTAAAGAAGTCCCAGTGAGTCAGAACCTGATGAAAGCTTCACGAAGCTTCACTAATAGCTTTAGCATTGCAGAAAAGACTGGTCAGAAGGAAACTAATGTGGTTCAGGACTTTAAGACAGACTAGTTTACAGGGGCTCCTTTCATGAAGCAACCTTTACTAAGGTTAACCGTAACTCCCATTCTTTAACATTGCACTAAGGTTACCTTGGTGACTTACTATCACCTTAGTGCTTTGTGAAAGGAGGCCCTGGTTTATGTGATGTTTGCTGACTTATTAACAATAAATTGAAATGACATAATTCTTGTGTTTCAAGTTTAATTGGATCATCAAAACACATCGGCATGTTATTTTCACCAAGGCATACCTAAAGTTACTGTCTTTTGTCATATGGGACCCTTAACCAAGGTGTGAAATTTATGCTGGTCCTGTGGTCCCTGGCTAGTACTAATTAATCAGGACCACTAAGTGATACGTTTGAAGTGGTCCTAGTGTCCAGTGAATATTGTATTGATAGTAAAGTAAATCTACGAATTTTATTTTGGACCACTGAAGTACAGACAGGACCACTAATTATTGTCCACTCACTGGTCCTTTGATCTAGTGGGAAATTTTGAAAGGTATCTTTCCCTGTTCACATAACTTGTGTTTCTATCCCTGCATGTAGTGCCTTAGATAATCCCCTTGTAGAGTGGATGTAGTGCTGTTTTAGTGTGATGTAGTGCCCTAGATAATCCCCTTGTAGAGTGGATGTAGTGCTGTTTTAGTGTCATGTAGTGCCCTAGATAATCCCCTTGTAGAGTGGATGTAGTGCTGTTTTAGTGTGATGTAGTGCCCTAGATAATCCCCTTGTAGAGTGGATGTAGTGCTGTTTTAGTGTGATGTAGTGCCCTAGATAATCCCCTTGTAGAGTGGATGTAGTGCTGTTTTAGTGTCATGTAGTGCCCTAGATAATCCCCTTGTAGAGTGGATGTAGTGCTGTTTTAGTGTCATGTAGTGCCCTAGATAATCCCCTTGTAGTGTGAATGTAGTGCTGTTTTAGTGTGATGTAGTGCCCTAGATAATCCCCTTGTAGAGTGGATGTAGTCCTGTTTTAGTGTCATGTAGTGCCCTAGATAATCCCCCTTGTAGAGTGGATGTAGTGCTGTTTTAGTGTCATGTAGTGCCCTAGATAATCCCCCTTGTACTGTGAATGTAGTGCTGTTTTTGTGTCATGTAGTGCCCTAGATAACCCCCTTGTAGAGTGGATGTCGTGCTGTTTTAGTGTCATGTAGTATCCTAGATAATCCCCTTGTAGAGTGGATGTAGTGCTGTTTTAGTGTCATGTAGTGCCCTAGATAAACCCCTTGTAGAGTGGATGTAGTGCTGTTTTAGTGACATGTAGTGCCCTAGATAATCCCCTTGTAGAGTGGATGTAGTGCTGTTTTAGTGTGATGTAGTGTCCTAGATAATCCCCTTGTAGAGTGGATGTAGTGCTGTTTTAGTGTCATGTAGTGTCCTAGATAATCCCCTTGTAGAGTGGATGTAGTCCTGTTTTAGTGTGATGTAGTGTCCTAGATAATCCCCTTGTAGAGTGAATGTAGTGCTGTTTTAGTGTCATGTAGTGTCCTAGATAATCCCCTTGTAGAGTGGATGTAGTCCTGTTTTAGTGTCATGTAGTGCCCTAGATAATCCCCTTGTAGAGTGGATGTAGTGCTGTTTAAGTGTCATGTAGTGCCCTAGATAATCCCCTTGTAGAGTGGATGTAGTGCTGTTTTAGTGTCATGTAGTGCCCTAGATAATCCCCTTGTAGTGTGAATGTAGTGCTGTTTTAGTGTCATGTAGTGCCCTAGATAATCCCCTTGTAGAGCGGATGTAGTCCTGTTTTAGTGTCATGTAGTGCCCTAGATAATCCCCTTGTAGAGTGGATGTAGTGCTGTTTTAGTGTCATGTAGTGCCCTAGATAATCCCCTTGTACTGTGAATGTAGTGCTGTTTTTGTGTCATGTAGTGCCCTAGATAACCCCCTTGTAGAGTGGATGTCGTGCTGTTTTAGTGTCATGTAGTATCCTAGATAATCCCCTTGTAGAGTGGATGTAGTGCTGTTTTAGTGTCATGTAGTGCCCTAGATAAACCCCTTGTAGAGTGGATGTAGTGCTGTTTTAGTGACATGTAGTGCCCTAGATAATCCCCTTGTAGAGTGGATTTAGTGCTGTTTTAGTGTGATGTAGTGTCTTAGATAATCCCCTTGTAGAGTGGATGTAGTGCTGTTTTAGTGTCATGTAGTGTCCTAGATAATCCCCTTGTAGAGTGGATGAAGTCCTGTTTTAGTGTGATGTAGTGTCCTAGATAATCCCCTTGTAGAGTGAATGTAGTGCTGTTTAAGTGTCATGTAGTGTCCTAGATAATCCCCTTGTAGAGTGGATGTAGTCCTGTTTTAGTGTCATGTAGTGTCCTAGATAATCCCCTTGTAGAGTGAATGTAGTGCTGTTTTAGTGTGATGTAGTGTCCTAGATAATCCCCTTGTAGATAGAATGTAGTGCTGTTTTAGTGTGATGTAGTGTCCTAGATAATCCCCTTGTAGAGTGAATGTAGTGCTGTTTTAGTGTCATGTAGTGTCCTAGATAATCACCTTGTAGAGTGGATGTAGTGCTGTTTTAGTGTGATGTAGTGTCCTAGATAATCCCCTTGTAGATTGAATGTAGTGCTGTTTTAGTGTCATGTGCCCTAGATAATCCCCTTGTAGAGTGGATGTAGTCCTGTTTTAGTGTCATGTAGTGCCCTAGATAATCCCCTTGTAGAGTGGATGTAGTGCTGTTTTAGTGTGATGTAGTGTCCTAGATAATCCCCTTGTAGAGTGGAGGTAGTCCTGTTTTAGTGTCATGTAGTGCCCTAGATAATCCCCTTGTAGAGTGGATGTAGTGCTGTTTTAGTGTCATGTAGTGCCCTAGATAATCCCCTTGTACTGTGAATGTAGTGCTGTTTTAGTGTCATGTAGTGCCCTAGATAACCCCCTTGTAGAGTGGATGTCGTGCTGTTTTAGTGTCATGTAGTATCCTAGATAATGCCCTTGTAGTGTGAATGTAGTGCTGTTTTAGTGTGATGAAGTGTCCTAGATAATCCCCTTGTAGAGTGGATGTAGTGCTGTTTTAGTGTCATGTAGTGCCCTAGATAATGCCCTTGTAGAGTGGATGTGGTGCTGTTTTAGTGTGATGTAGTGCCCTAGATAATCCATTTGTAGTGTGAATGTAGTGCTGTTTTAGTGTGATGTAGTGCCCTAGATAATCCCCTTGTAGAGTGAATGTAGTGCTATTTTAGTGCGATGTAGGGCCCTAGATAATCCATTTGTAGTGTGAATGTAGTGCTGTTTTAGTACCATGTAGTGGCCTAGATAATCCCCTTGTGTGGATGTAGTGCTGTTTTAGTGCCATGTAGTGCCCTAGATAATCCCCTTGTAGAGTGGATGTAGTGCTGTTTTAGTGTCATGTAGTGCCCTAGATAATCCCCTTGTACTGTGAATGAAGTGCTGTTTTAGTGTCATGTAGTGCCCTAGATAACCCCCTTGTAGAGTGGATGTCGTGCTGTTTTAGTGTCATGTAGTATCCTAGATAATGCCCTTGTAGTGTGAATGTAGTGCTGTTTTAGTGTGATGAAGTGTCCTAGATAATCCCCTTGTAGAGTGGATGTAGTGCTGTTTTAGTGTCATGTAGTGCCCTAGATAATGCCCTTGTAGAGTGGATGTGGTGCTGTTTTAGTGTGATGTAGTGCCCTAGATAATCCATTTGTAGTGTGAATGTAGTGCTGTTTTAGTGTGATGTAGTGCCCTAGATAATCCCCTTGTAGACTGAATGTAGTGCTATTTTAGTGCGATGTAGTGCCCTAGATAATCCATTTGTAGTGTGAATGTAGTGCTGTTTTAGTACCATGTAGTGGCCTAGATAATCCCCTTGTGTGGATGTAGTGCTGTTTTAGTGCCATGTAGTGCCCTAGATAATCCCCTTTGTAGTGTGAATGTAGTGCTGTTTTAGTACCATGTAGTGCCCTAGATAATCCATTTGTAGTGACTGTAGTGCTGTTTTAGTACCATGTAGTGTCCCTTTGTAGTGCTGTTTATTGTATTTTGTCGGTTCCAGTTTCTGTGGTGGCTGTTCCTGTTTGTGGGTCTGGCGGTCACTGCAGATGACTTGTGAGTTATGGCCTTATCATATTCCATATGTACAGTAAATCACGTAAAGGTAGTATGCTTCTGTTTGAATGTCTTGAGATCTTAAATGAAATAGCCTGTGTGTATATGCAGCTCTAACCCAGGGTGATAATGTCTGGGCTGTGTGCATAATTTGAGATGGACATTAATATAATGAGAATATTTATAGCGCTTCTTCTCCAGTCAACATATCCTGCTCAAAGTGCACAATCTGATCATTATTACCCCGGATAACCCAAGCTGTTAGGCACTAGAAGGTTAATAGTCACATGACTTATTTCACCGGGTACCCATTTTCTGCTGGCAATATGGAACAAACTCACCTGCCTAAGGTGAGATCACATGTATGACATGTGCTTTGTTGTGTGGCAGGACTGAAGCCCTAGAAACTCACAGGAGTGAAGCTGCCAAACACGGTCACCCATCCAAGGACTCTCTGCTCCCTATGCTGCTTAACTTCAACTGACTGAGACCTGAGCGCTATGCACAGGACCACACAACACCACACTAGGCACTCTATTAACACCTTACTCAGCAATATATGACAACAGCCTGTTAATAATCCAGTCTCAGCCATGTATTCCACTGACTGACAACATCAGTCTTCTGACTCAGATATGTTGACAAGGAGGGGTCCTGTTGACATGGATCCAGTTCTTCAGTGGCATTTAACATAGTGAACACATGTAACTGTCTCTCAGGCCCTTTAATCGAACTGGCGTAAACTGCCAGTAGCCTGAGCCCACTTTACCTGTGGATTAAAGGCAGCCAGTGAGTACCACTCAAAGGCTGGCAGACCTCAAGCAACACCTGACCGAAATATGTCTCAACTGTAGTGTGTAGAAAACCCTTTAACAAACAATTAGCATAATACTGAAACTTGTCAGAAATGTCGCACTTGTTTTCTTCTTTATGAGGCACTAATGATCCTTGGTCCAAGGGAAGACAACTCTCTGTGACATGAAAATGTGTATCCTGGAGCATTAGTTGAGTATATCACTGTTCTGGTGTGCTCAACACGCCTGCTGTGTATCACCTTAACGGTGTATTTCATGACCTTACGTCACGTGTTAACCCCATCAGTAGACTAACAGTTAGTCTCTGAAATGAACATATTTTACAGAAAATAACAGTTTTTGAATTAGACTTGCCACATTTTCTAGACTTGCGTGGACTTGGATATATTTGCTTCAGGGTCTGTATAACAGACTACCCCGTTAGGTTCATACTGATGTAATTGTGTTTACCGTGACACGTAGAAGACGGTAGTGTATATCAGATGGTGTGTATTTCCTGTGTTTCAGTTTCTGTCCGTCACTGACTGTCATATCAAGGACCTTGAGGCTCAGTCACAATGTGGCCGTATCCTTTGTCAATGTCAGTGTCAAAAGTTAATAAACATCAGATTCTGCAATATTCTCAAACACTGCTTAATTCTGTGACAAGTTTCAGGGTTATTTTCCAAGGATTCCAGATTCCAGATTCCAGATGACCAATTATTTATAACACAGAGACTATTAAACCCGAGGTTAATTAAAGGGGTAAAACTATCAAGATGTTTCTTGTAAGGAATTCCGTGGTGAAGCATCATGTACAGATTATTGATTTTGGATCTATGATATTAGATGTATAGTATAGGCATTAGATGTTCACATATTGATAATAATATATATTTCTTGGTAGAATTGGGTGGGTGAGGTTACTCTAGTCATTTAACAAGGGATTCAGATGTGAATAATAACTCGGTGCGTCTAGTGGCTGCAAGAGTTGTATACTCCCCAGGGAGTTGAGATTGATAATACGATGTGCCATTGAGATTGACATCCAATGATCGAGGGAAAATATATCAGCGCCTTGAGCAAGTACTAGTTGCCTGGATATGTGCGCTATATAAATATCCTATAATAAAAAATAAATAAATAAATAAAACTTTGCCTGTAAATATATATTCAAAAAAAAAAATGCAACATTGTTTTTCAGATGTATACCTTATCTGTTATATAAATCATCAACAGTGTTTTTCAGATGTATACCTTATCTGTTATATAAATCATCAACAGTGTTTTTCAGATGTATACCTTATCTGTTATATAAATCATCAACAGATCAAAATGCGTTCTTCAAATGTGGCTCAAGTTATTGTCTCAGTCTGAGGTTCATCATGAAACAAACAAATGTCAAGGTGAAGGTCATCTGTTCTCAATATCGTGTATGGTCCCGTGATAGTCCAGAACTGCCTGGCATGGAACCAATGAGATTACTAACTGTGGCCTGGGGAGGGTTCACCCTCTCTTCCTGCAGTGCTGGTTGGTGGTTGGTGGTTAGTGGTTAAAGCGTTGGCTCGTCACGCCGAAGACCCGGGTTCGATTCCCCACATGGGCACAATGTGTTAAGCCCATTTCTGGTGTCCCCCGCCGTGATATTGCTGGAATATTGCTAAAAGCAGCGTAAAACTAAACTCAGTCAGTTAGTCCTGCAGTGCTTGATCCAACTATTGGAGGTTTGGTGGCTGTTGCTGACGTGATTGCAGATATTGTTCAAAAGCATTCCATAAACGTTCAATGTGGTTTAGAGATCCAGAGGGCCATGGCAGAACTTGGATGTTGTGGTTCCTCAAAAAGACTGTTGCCCATCCTCGATAATTTCCAGGGTATACGTTACAATAAATCTCCACTAGTACCCTGAATGCATCTATGGCTGACTTGATAATTATATTACCTCCCTCTGCTGGCTCCACATTCTCACAGTAGCCAATCAGCTGAGCCGCCGTTACAACCGAGCTTGCCAGTGTCAACTAAGATAGCAGTCGCAGCCGCGAAGGTTTGTTCGCAGTACAACTCAGATTTTTGGGGAAATCATACAGACAAATTGACAGGTCTGAAACCTTAAAAAATATATGCAAGAACTCTTTCTACCTCTTTCAGAGTACCGCTGCAACAATTATGTTGCCAAATTTAATCGGTTATAAAAGAGAAGCGAAAGTGAGTTGTGATTGGTACGCACAACTTCCCAGCGTAGACACCTGATTGGAAAAAGCCAGCCAAGGGAGGTAATAAAATCATGGCCGAGCTGTAGATGCATCCAGGGTATAGTGTAGATTTATCAGAACGTATACCCTGGAGATTATCGAGGATGAGTCTTGCCGTGTGATGTTGACAAATACCCTTTGGATTGTGTTCAACTTCTGTCTGTCGTTTTCACTTTTTTTTTATGAGAAATTCATATTTGCTATCATTTTGTATAAATATTAGCATTGTGTTTCATGTCTCTCTGATGCACATTGTAATCTGATGATGTCGCTCAGCAGAAACACTGATGGCAGGTCACTGACTGACAAATCTTTGGAATCAAAAGTTTGGACACCAAATTATAGAAATAGAAATATTCAGCAGAGAACCATGATCTGACCAGCTCCGACAAGCATGTCCCATCTCCCATGACATGATGTACAAGCTGTCACTGTTATGTTCCTTCATCTGAATTAGGGGGTAACATTTCTGGCATTTGGAAATGGAGCCCCAGATATATTCTCTGCCATCGCAGCTATTGGCAGCGCCAAGAATGGTGACGCAGGAATGGCGGTGGGAGCTCTGTTCGGTGAGGTGTCAATCAGACTTGAATGTGTGTTTATGGATCATCCACTGTATGTAGTTAGATGTCTTTGTGTTTGTTATTAATGTCAGTTTTTGTGTTGACGCCTCTGATTGGTCATGGGCTTGGAATTACCTCCCTTTGCTGATGTAGCTCCATACAATATACAATATAGTGCCCATAGTCCAGTACAACCAGTGGAGTGTGTGCTGCAGTCTGCTTTGTTCACCACTTATCAGGGACTGGCAATATACTTTAAGCTTGGCTGGTGTAGATTTTTCTTAGGACTGTATGATATCTTGCCGATTTGTACTCTGCCCTCTCCCAATACATGTTAGCATTACTCACCCTATGACTGTAATAAACAGTCCCTGAATGATGTTAAAATATATTTTACAAAAATATTTCGAGAAAAAGATTTATCATTTTTACCATGATATTTCAGATGCATTTAATATGTCCACATATATATATATCAGTTTCAAAGAGTTATGTTCCTTCATTATGTACTCCAAGAGTTATGTCCCTTCATTATGTACTACAAGAGTTATGTCCCTTCGTTATGTTCTCCAAGAGTTATGTCCCTTCATTATGTTCTCCAAGAGTTATGTCCCTTCATTATGTTCTCCAAGAGTTATGTCCCTTCGTTATGTTCTCCAAGAGTTATGTCCCTTCATTATGTTCTCCAAGAGTTATGTCCCTTCTTTATGTTCTCCAAGAGTTATGTCCCTTCATTATGTTCTCCTGTCTACCTGTAGGTGCGGGTGTGTTTGTGACAACTGTAGTTGCCGGGGTCATCGCTGTTGTCTGCCCATTCGATGCCATGCAGCGCCCGTTTCTCCGTGACGTCATCTTCTATCTGGCTGCTGCATTCTGGACTTTCTACATCCTCTGGAAAAAGACGATAACAAAGTTTGAAGCATTAGGTTGAGAAACAAGAGCTTATACCATTATGCAGCCAAACACACAGTTGTTCTTAAACCAGGATAAGCCAAACAAATTCACAATACACTGAGTTATTGCCTGTCCCCAGAACATATAATGGTTGCTCCTTTTGAACAAATACTTGCTATGTTTTCCTTAAATGTTCACAAATGTCGGCAGGTACTGCATCAAGTTGGTAAATATTTTGTTGCCAAAGCTTTCAAAACTGCTAGACAATGTTTACTCCAAAGTTGTATGTTCAATTTTTAAGATTGATCATTGGGTACAGAAATGTTCAAGTCTCTTGCAGGGGGGAAAGGCTGAGGTGTCAACTCCGGAAAAAACCCACCAAAATGTTTCTTAAGACTGAAGATTTTCACACATCTCTATTGTAAACATACGCCATTTTAAAATACAAGTGTATCTAAAAACCTAATGAAACATGCCTCCATCTTGTGTTTAAAACTGTAAATGTTAACATTATTGTCAGACACTTGTTGAGGTAATCGCGATGGACATTGTGTGTTGCAGGGTTCATAGGTCTGTATGTGTTCTACGTGCTCGTGGTCGTCATCGGGAGATACATCTACCAGCGAGGACGGCATCGGCCCGAGGACCAGACCGTGATAGTGCCGCCGCCAAGTGAGAAATGTATTCATTCTTCCATTCATATGTTGAGCATGTAGTTCAGTTTTGAGGTGGAAGTTTTCTCGAAGTTTTTGTATGATGAACTAATTATTAGATTTTCATGGAAGGTCTAAAATTGCTGCAAAAATTTAATTTGTAATGCCGACAAGTTTGATATATAGATTGAGAAAGACATGACACTTTGTTATACAGTGAAACAAGAAGCATTGTTGAACATTAAGATCATGTCTTACTGCTCTCGACTGCTGCACAGAGATCTTTCATACAACCAGTCAGAGTGTTGCTTAACAGATCAAGAACGTGAGAATCCCACACATATTTGGTAATCATGCAAACTCAAAAAGGTTAACACACGGCACAACTGTACAACCGATTCTGTCAGTATCACCACATGTCTCTCTCTTCAGTGGGATCAACATTTGAAGGGCACTGGTAGTACAGCCGTACAATCTCGACCATCCATTAGACGTTCGAGAATTTCTTACTGTTTATTTTTCCAATTTTGAAATTTGAATTGTTTAAATATTTTTCAAGACATTGTCTTGAACGAAAATTTGGAAGCAAGTGTCATTAAGCAAAAGAAAACAGTGTTCTTATTGGTTAATGTTGACTTTGTATTGGTCGTTTCACTGGTCGGTCAAAGTTTTGAACAGTCATTCTGACATAAGCTTAAGGGATGTCCTCAGGCCTGTGTATGGCAGTATTTGTCAATGAGAGGGCAATGAAGAAAGTCTCATAATTAGCTCATCATGTCCTGGTGGTGCTACTGATATTGATTTGGTATAATTCCCTTTGCATGAAGGTCTGTCAGTGGGTGTGGCCATACTGATGAGCAGCCTTGCATTTCTGGGACTCCTGACCAATCCACAGTCATATAGCTCTGTTAAAGTCCCCTTAACATTAAGCCGACACGGCTGACACTGTTTGAAAGTGTCAATCCCATTTCACTGTCTTACTCCAACCAGTTGCCAGAGACCATGTCTAAGATCTGTCAGTGTCATGTGACGGAACCACCACAATGAGTTGCTGTGATAGTAAACCCTTCTGCAGTAAAAACAGATTTTGAAATAGGGGTTCAAATCACCGTAACACCCCTCACTGAAATAGGGGTTTAAATCAGCAAAACACTCCTCACTAAAATAGGATATCAAATCAGTGTATCACCCCTCATTGAAATAGGGGTTCAAGTCAGCATAACGCCCCTCACTGCTCAATGAAGTCCATACTTCTCACACACCTCAAATTACCCCCAAGTACAGTGGAAGCCCTCTAAACCGGCATTCGTTGGGACCGGCAAAAAATGCCGATATAGAGGACGTGACGGTTTAGAGAACCTTTCTGTGTGCCGTAAAACTCGTTGACATTTAATTCTGAAGCAAAATGTCCGAGACTGTTTGCCTGCCAGTTTGGTGCTGAAGTGCAAGATCTTTTTGAGTAGGCCGAGGAATTGCATCAATATCTTTTATCAGTGAGCGATGGTAACCCACTGCGTTGTTAATCAGCCAATCAACAGGAGATACCGGATGCCGGTTTAGAGAGCGTTAATTACTGTACAAACAGTCAATAGGATGGTCTTTGTTGTGCCGAAATACGGAATAGACTGACGGCGGATTAGAGGGCGTTTAAATGATCATAAATTAAATAGTTCCTGCCGGGATCAAATTCTAGTGCCGAGGTTGACAGCATGCCGGATTGGAGGGCTGCCGGTTTAGAGGGCTTCCACTGCATAGGGCCAGTCGTTTATATTTTTTTTATAATGTAATTACTGGGGACTGAAAAATAGTAATGTATGCATATATTTTTTATTCACAACTTTTCTGGTAAACTCTCTGTTGATGATCCTGTGTCCCAGATGTGTTTCAACGGTGACTGGTCCTTTCACTGCTTGTACTAACTTTTAGCACACAGCGAGGACTTGGGACATGAGGACGATGGTTCCCCCAATTCTACAGTGTCTCTCAATGCAGCAGGTAGGGGAAGATACACACAGCATTCTACTACTTTTACAAGGTGTCATGTGGTATAGGAACTAATAGGTGAAGCCAAGCAGTGTAAAGTATGAACTGATTCACTAGTTCATGATGTAATTTAATTCTTCTTGTGTTTGATATAAGTATGTGAGGTTTCGTATATCATGTAAAGTTATAAGCAGAATCTATTGGAGAGGATTGAGAACTCTGTGATATACAGGGTGCAAATAAAATCAACTTTGGTTCACATGTTCAACATTTTAAAAAGTTAATGGAGGTCATAGTATTTTTTTCTAAAATTTTTATTTTTTTAAGTTTTCTGTAATTTGACTTGAGTGAAGATGTATTTGGGATTCAGGCTGACTAAACAATTAGGTGACTGAGGGAAGAGTATGACTCTCTCTTAAGTCCTCCCAAACTATTCTTCTAATGTCATTAATAGTCTGAAGTTGATGCTGTTGCTAGAGTTGTGGAGCTGTGTGACATCTTGCGGAAGTGCTCCGTGTATTGTACTAACATTTCCCATGTATGTTGTCTCTGACAAGATGGCACCGCCTCATCGCCAACGAATCCCTATAACATTCAGGAGGAACTGTTGCAGGCCACGGTTTCCATAGACACCAGAGGTATAGAAGCCTGTCTTGCGCTGTTGTCCTCGCTTTCTCCATCTATTCATCATCTGTTCGTCTGTTTGTCTGTTTGTCCATGCAAGCATTCATGATGTCCATCTGTGTCCATCTGTGTCCGTGCTATCTGTGTCCATGCAAGCATTCATCATATATCATTCATCATATCCGTCTGTCCATGCAAGCATTCCATGCAAGATTTCATTATGTCTGTTCGTCCATGCAACCACTTGTCAACTGTTGTCCATCTGTGCATCTGTACACACGGACACTGATAGACCTAGTGGACTTAAACCAATGTTTTTAAATCTATTTTCAACAGCCACCCTCAGTGTCAATTTTATTTGACAAGTATAAAATGAATCTCTGCTACAAAACCATTGCCCACCTCTTGCACCTATACGAATCTGCTACAATACGAAACATTTCAAGAAGACTTTGCCCATTAAGCTGTATTCAGTAAATAAATAACAAGTACTGAATAGCAGGTAGCAAGTCGCCATTCAGCTTGTGTCAAACTGACAGAATATAGAAGTTGAGGTATCTCTCCCACAGGAGGAAGGGAGACAATTCTTGACGTGGCGTTCTATGCATCAGCGTGTCTGTGTATGTTCTCCTTGTTTGTGTGTACTACTAACACGCATTCACAGACGATTTTCTCCCAGAATGCTTCACCTATCTAGAGATTGTCCCTCTGTCAGCCTCTGTCATCAGCTTCTCTGTATCTAGAGAGATTGTCCCTCTGTCATCAGCTTCTCTGTATCTAGAGTATTGTTGTCCTCTGTCATCAGCTTCTCTGTATCTAGAGATTGTCCCTCTGTCATCAGCTTCTCTGTATCTAGAGATTGTCCCTCTGTCATCAGCTTCTCTGTATCTAGAGATTGTCCCTCTGTCATCAGCTTCTCTGTATCTAGAGATTGTCCCTCTGTCATCAGCTTCTCTGTATCTAGAGATTGTCCCTCTGTCATCAGCTTCTCTGTATCTAGAGATTGTCCCTCTGTCATCAGCTTCTCTGTATCTAGAGATTGTCCCTCTGTCATCAGCTTCTCTGTATCTAGAGATTGTCCCTCTGTCATCAGCTTCTCTGTATCTAGAGATTGTCCCTCTGTCATCAGCTTCTCTGTATCTAGAGATTGTCCCTCTGTCATCAGCTTCTCTGTATCTAGAGATTGTCCCTCTGTCATCAGCTTCTCTGTATCTAGAGATTGTCCCTCTGTCATCAGCTTCTCTGTATCTAGAGATTGTCTCTCTGTCATCAGCTTCTCTGTATCTAGAGATTGTCCCTCTGTCATCAGCTTCTCTGTATCTAGAGATTGTCCCTCTGTCATCAGCTTCTCTGTATCTAGAGATTGTCCCCCTCTGTCATCAGCTTCTCTGTATCTAGAGATTGTCCCTCTGTCATCAGCTTCTCTGTATCTAGAGATTGTCCCTCTGTCATCAGCTTCTCTGTATCTAGAGATTGTCCCTCTGTCATCAGCTTCTCTGTATCTAGAGATTGTCCCTCTGTCATCAGCTTCTCTGTATCTAGAGATTGTCCCTCTGTCATCAGCTTCTCTGTATCTAGAGATTGTCCCTCTGTCATCAGCTCTCATCAGCTCAGCTTCTCTGTATCTAGAGATTGTCCCTCTGTCATCAGCTTCTCTGTATCTAGAGATTGTCCCTCTGTCATCAGCTTCTCTGTATCTAGAGATTGTCCCTCTGTCATCAGCTTCTCTGTATCTAGAGATTGTCCCTCTGTCATCAGCTTCTCTGTATCTAGAGATTGTCCCTCTGTCATCAGCTTCTCTGTATCTAGAGATTGTCCTCTGTCATCAGCTTCTCTGTATCTAGAGATTGTCCCTCTGTCATCAGCTTCTCTGTATCTAGAGATTGTCCCTCTGTCATCAGCTTCTCTGTATCTGTCCCTCTATCTAGAGATTGTCCCTCTGTCATCAGCTTCTCTGTATCTAGTTGTCTCCTGTCATCAGCTTCTCTGTATCTTGTCCCTCTGTCATCAGCTTCTCTGTATCTAGAGATTGTCCCTCTGTCATCAGCTTCTCTGTATCTAGAGATTGTCCCTCTGTCATCAGCTTCTCTGTATCTAGAGATTGTCCCTCTGTCATCAGCTTCTCTGTATCTAGAGATTGTCTCTCTGTCATCAGCTTCTCTGTATCTAGAGATTGTCCCTCTGTCATCAGCTTCTCTGTATCTAGAGATTGTCCCTCTGTCATCAGCTTCTCTGTATCTAGAGATTGTCCCTCTGTCATCAGCTTCTCTGTATCTAGAGATTGTCCCTGTCATCAGCTTCTCTGTATCTAGAGATTGTCCCTCTGTCATCAGCTTCTCTGTATCTAGAGTTGTCTCTGTCTTCTCTGTATCTAGAGATTGTCCCTCTGTCATCAGCTTCTCTGTATCTAGAGATTGTCATCTCTGTCATCAGCTTCTCTGTATCTAGAGATTGTCCCTCTGTCATCAGCTTCTCTGTATCTAGAGATTGTCCCTCTGTCATCAGCTTCTCTGTATCTAGAGATTGTCCCTCTGTCATCAGCTTCTCTGTATCTAGAGATTGTCTCTCTGTCATCAGCTTCTCTGTATCTAGAGATTGTCTCTCTGTCATCAGCTTCTCTGTATCTAGAGATTGTCTCTCTGTCATCAGCTTCTCTGTATCTAGAGATTGTCCCTCTGTCATCAGCTTCTCTGTATCTAGAGATTGTCCCTCTGTCATCAGCTTCTCTGTATCTAGAGATTCTCTGTATCTAGAGATTGTCCCTCTGTCATCAGCTTCTCTGTATCTAGAGATTGTCCCTCTGTCATCAGCTTCTCTGTATCTAGAGATTGTCCCTCTGTCATCAGCTTCTCTGTATCTAGAGATTGTCCCTCTGTCATCAGCTTCTCTGTATCTAGAGATTGTCCCTCTGTCATCAGCTTCTGTCTGTATCTAGAGAGATGTCTCTGTCATCAGTGCTTGGCTTGTCATCAGCTGGATTGGCTGTCATGTAATCTAAGTTGTCCCTATGCCAGTCTTTATCAGCCATACAAGGTGATATGTAGGTAGATTGGCATGCAATTTGTTATGCCAGTTTTAGCAGCCATACAAGGTAATATGTAGGTAGTGGCAGCAGCTGCATGCAGCAGCCTAGAAGGTCAGTTGTTAATGAAAAGAATATTGTCACAGTTGATTGTCTTTAAATAGGCCTGTCTTGATTCTTACACACAGCATAGTGTTGTTAGATGTCAGACAGATATCAAAAATGCATTTTGTAAGTTGAAAAACCCTCCAAAGGCCTTTTGTCCCTCTGATATAGGTAGAGCCAGCCTTTCACACACTGTCCAATCCTGAAGCTTCCAGAATAATCAAACCTGCCATGTTCTTTAAATTGAAGTAAATTGAAGCATACAACTTTATGGATGACATCTCCTTGTTTAGGTTGATAACAGTGTAAGAATCTGGGGACATCTCCTTGTTTAGGTTGATAACAGTGTAAGAATCTGGGGACATCTCCTTGTTTAGGTTGATAACAGTGTAAGAATCTGGGGACATCTCCTTGTTTTTGATAACAGTTGAATACACTTGTTTAGGTTGATAACAGTGTAAGAATCTGGGGACATCTCCTTGTTTAGGTTGATAACAGTGTAAGAATCTGGGGACATCTCCTTGTTTAGGTTGATAACAGTGTAAGAATCTGGGGACATCTCCTTGTTTAGGTTGATAACAGTGTAAGAATCTGTATCGCAACGTCGCTCTATGCAATAAAGTTTGTTTGAGTGGCACTTTAGAAGCTGAGACGTGACAATATAGAACAAGTTTTATGGATAACAACTTCTTTATTTTGTGAGTGCGACGTTTCGATACAGATTCTTGTACCATTGTCAGTACAATAAAGTTGTATGCTATATTATTGACTCTCCAAGTTCTAGAATGCAGATCAAACAAAACAGGGGTTGTAACTCTAAATTTGCCTCCGCCACCAGCAACACTCAGCATTTTACTAGCACTTCAGTTGGTTGCTGCCACTACCAGTTGCTATGTATATCTTAACTATAGTCTTCAACACCTCATGGGCTGAGATATGATACTGAAGACTCTGTAACCTGTGCTTAGGTCCTGCTTTGTGTTCAGGTCGGTCTCACTGGGGCTTGAGTCAATGTCTAGGACCTGTACAAGTTGATTGGTTACGCCATGAAGGTTGGATTTTTGAAAAAAGTATATCTGCTTTGCTCACACATGACAATGGTCATGACTTTATTTAAACATGACAGTTCTCACACATATAATTTATTTGTGTCCAACATGTTCGCATGTGTGTGTAACATTTGTCCGCCTCAATGAATGCTTATTCCTGTTTTCTTACATTGTTTGTTTCTGCATGCTGCACTTTAACCAATATGTTTGTGTGGCAGACCAGTGATCACCACTCTTTATTTGTGTGGCAGACCAGTGATCACCACACTTTATTTGTGTGGCAGACCAGTGATCACCACACTTTATTTGTGTGGCAGACCAGTGATCACCACACTTTATTTGTGTAGCAGACCAGTGATCACCACACTCTATTTGGCATTGGGATTATTTTTGTATGTTTATTTTCTCGTTCTATGTTAACTACTAGTTGCTGTTATGAAACTAAGAAATCTCTCTTACTACAGTGTTTAAACCTCCCAAAATTCCAAGCCAGACAGCTGGACTGGTAACTTAAAAAAATTACCAGTCTGGATACAAACTTGCCTGTCCGGTTTCAGCAATGAAAAATCATCAGGTTTCTGAATACTTTGCTGTTTGTAGGCATCGCAATGAACAACATAGCACAAGTACATGTGTTGTGATTGGTTATTGTACTGTCCAATCGTAAATAGCTTAACATAATTATCATAATACCTTAAACACCTCAAACTGACGACAAGAGAACCTGTCTGATATTATGAAGTATTTACTGTTAGGGGTAAAAATGTCTACCAGACCACCAGACAGGCTACTTTTGAAATTTGACGGTCCAAGATGAAAACAGACAGGGGGACAGTCGGGCAGGCGGGAATTTAAACGCTGCTTACTATGGATATATTTGATCTATTATATCATTCAGTTAATGCATAAAGTTTACTACACATGATATAGGTGAAGTATATAACAATGTTGTACTTGAGTATAGAGTTGTCAGATTCCTAAATAATTGTTGATACCAGTGTTATAACCATCCATACAGGAATATAGAATAGATACGTATGTTATAACCGGTAGTTAAGGAGTATAGTACAGATACTTGTATTATAACCATCCATACAGGAATATAGAATAGATATGTATGTTATAACCGGTAGTTAAGAACTATAGTACAGATACTTGTGTTATAACCATCCATACAGGAATATAGAATAGATATGTATGTTATAACCGGTAGTTAAGAACTATAGTACAGATACTTGTGTTATAACCATCCATACAGGAATATAGAATAGATATGTATGTTATAACCGGTAGTTAAGAACTATAGTACAGATACTTGTATTATAACCATCCATACAGGAATATAGAATAGATATGTATGTTATAACCGGTAGTTAAGAACTATAGTACAGATACTTGTGTTATAACCATCCATACAGGAATATAGAATAGATACATATGTTATAACCGGTAGTTAAGGAGTATAGTACAGATACTTGTATTATAACCATCCATAAAGGACTATAGAATAGATATGTATGTTATAACCAGTAGTAAAGGAGAACAGTACAGATACTTGTGTTATAACTAGCTATATAGAATTATCCAGCCTCATGTAAGAATGTCGAGTTTTGATTGGTTCACGTGACTCTGATAAAATACCATATACACCCGTCACGATCCGCGAGCAGGGAGTACAAAAGTCATATATGTATGTTATAACCAGCTATATAGAAATATAGTACATATATGTATGTTATAGCCGGTAGTAAAGGAGTACAGTACATATATGTATGTTATAACCAGCTATAAAGGAGTATAGTACCTGTTCTGGAGGGTCTGTTAAGAACTGATATTCTCAAACACAGTGTTTGGTGGCAAAAATACAATCACTTTGCGGAAAAGACAAAAGTTTTTCATGTTGCACAAGATTCTGTGATAAGTTATGCTATGTATGATTAATAGAAAGTAGAGTTTCAGTTTTAGGCGCAAGTGACAGGCTGTTGATGAACAGCTCTCTCCAAGTGATAAATATTCAACTACAATTGTATAGATCAAATATTTTATAGTAATAGTTGAGAGACTTATCCATTGACACTTAACATTAGCAAGATACACAGATTCTTCTTAGAAGTTTTAACTCCGTTATTTTTAAATATTTTCGCATTTCACCTTTCTCATTACGTTAAAAGGGGTAGTTCAGTTTAATTTCCACTACGAACCATAGGTAGTTTAGTTGACGTTCCACTACGTAACAGTACAGGTACTTGTGTTATAACCAGCTGTGAGGGAGTATAATACACTATACATCACCTTATTCATCCTTAGCTAATGAAAGAAGTCCACTACTAGAACATGCCCAGGTTGAAAACTACACTCTACCAAAGAAGAGTTCTTCAGAAGGGGAGGACAACTCTGTTTTTATGGAATTCCTGGAAACTGTAAACCCCATCGATATAGAGAACTGGCCTGACAAGAGGTTTTATTCTAAAGGTTATGAAATTTTCAAGGTGAGATTATGAAAAAGATATACTTACAACTTCAGGCCATGAAGTTGAATATATAAATTGCATTTCCGATTCTTTCATAGAAAACACCATCAGTGTTGAATAACAGTGGAAATATAGGTGGGAAATACTGACTTGTGAACACTACTTCTCATACTCAGTATGAAGGCGATTTTTATCACCATATGTATTTAACCTTAGCGTTAACTTTATTTAGGGGTCGATATTTTAAACTTGGTTGTTCTCAATCACATGAGTGCTTCCACATTGCTTAGGCTCAGTCTCTCAAGAACACTGAGAGGTTGGGGGGAAAATATGCGAAATAGGAATTAAAATGAGATCTTTTCTCCGATTCTACACCTGGCTGAAGGTCTGAGACACCATATAGGAGGTCATTGTAGGAGGTCATGTCAGGAGGTCATGTCAGGAGGTCGTTGAGTGTAGCATCCAGTCTTAATGAAGGACTGGCTTCTTGAGCAAACCTGATGTAATTGTTCAAAACATTTACAGCTTAATTTCTTTACCTCCTTGATACAGTAATTACTATTTATCCAAAGAAAACAGCTACAAATATTTCTTTGAGAGGCATATTAGAAGTTGTCATCACTTGCTTGATAACGGTGTTAGTACCTTCACCGATATGTTGCTCTCATTGCGATAAACAAGTGGACTATCAATAGAACTTGGTTTCCTTCAGCGACAAATATACTAGTACATTTGACAGTGCATTCTGGGTGAAGATGCAGTGGCACTCAGAAATGACCAGATATATAAAAAGAATGTCTTGTAAAAGCACTGCTTTATGTTCTGGGGACCGCCTCCGTGGTGTAGTGGTTAGAGCGTTAGAGCGACAGCGTCATACCAAAGAGCGTTAAAATATGGTACTTGTTGGTCCCTGCCTGGCGTTCGGCATTAATGGATACAACAAGGACTGGTCGGCTCGGAGTCAGTATAATGTGTCTGAGTGGGGTATTCATGCTTCACTGCGGCATGGTATCTCAGTGGGCTAGCACTATAAAACCAGCTTATGTCTGGGCTAGTACAAGCAGCCGCACACACACATACACACGCATGCACGTCGTCATATGAGCGAAATATTCTCAAGCACGACTTAAAACCCAATTTCACCTCACCATGTTCTGGGCTTCAAAACTGCTTGTTTATTTTCACTCTCTGGATTAGATGTCTGGCACAATGTAACCTTTTTCTGGTGTCTCCCCCTGTTAATATTTAGCCTGAACATTGTAAACATATTATGCAAAAGGACACTAATGTCTGCAAGACTGATCACAGATAGTTGACAGTGAAGAGGAATTTAGGTGAAAATCCAAATTTGATTACAGCCAAAACATAGGCTTTAATGGAATGATGTGACAGAGTCAGGTTAATTGCAGGGACTTGATGTCATCTGATTTTGAATTTTAATCCCACTCACTAATATTTGCTGCTAAAGACTGTTGTATCTGTTGTGCAGTGCCCGATCATGCTGATGCTGAAGTTGACCATCCCCGTGGTGGATTACAGCAGCAACGACGACAACCACAACTGGAACAGACACCTCAACTCCCTACACTGTTTTACTGGGCCGGTGTTTGGAGTTTTCGCTACAAAAGGTACATCAAGTGAATGTTTCATTATGTATATTGCCCGGGAGTCTGTTAAAGCAACTCGCTGTCTTGACTGGCTCTATCTGACAAGAGTCCAGGGGATTGGTTGGTGGCAGTTGGTGTCATCACTTCCTGCTGGTATATGTTCATGCTATTGGCCACCAGCTCTTCCATTATTCACAGGTCAGTTGTGGAAGGCTGAGATATTGAACTCTACATAATACAACAGTAGGTGGGCGGTGGGGTAGCCTAGTGGTTAAAGAGTTCGCTCATCACGCCAAAGGCCTGGGTTCGATTCCCCACATGGGTACAATGGTATCAGGCTAACTTCCCTCTGGCTATCTGCCGCCCATCCATTGTGCCCCCTAGTCTAACTGCCCCCCAGGACAAGTGCCCCCCATCAAAACTAAAAAGTGACCCCATCCCCCATCCTGATAGGATTTAATAAACTCTATTACACATTATATCAACAAACAGTGCCTTTAGTAAGTAACTGGCTATCTCATTTTATCCTGGAGGAAGTATATCTTGGAGAAGGTTATACATACAGTAATGTGGCCTTTGCTAGATGGGCACTTGTTTTGCTAGTGACAGTGCCAAAAGACTGGCACGTGTTGTTGAGAAATATATAACTCTATGGACATTTTGGAATTTTTAAGAGCCATCACCCACAATCTGTCCTTTTAAGTGTGTGTGTGTCTGAAAAATGAGGGAAGAGGAGTTGTCCGGGGCAATTAACCCAGGGGGCAGTTGTTGTCCGGGGGGCACATTAGATGGGGGGCAGATAGCCAGAGGGCAGTTGACCAGGGGGGCAGTTAGCCTAGACCCGGGTACAATGTGTGAAGCCCATTTCTGGTGTCCCCTGCTGTGATATTGCTGGAATATTGCTAAAAGTGGTGTAAAACCATACTCCCTCACTCACAACAGTAGGTCTCGGTGAGAAGACTTCTACAGTGTTGTTACTGAAGTACCTGGGTTTGGGAGTGGGCAGTGTGGTGTTGGGTTGCAAGGTGTATAGTATTTAACATTTCATTCTTGTATTTCCAGTTGCGTTTGTGAAACTAAACGGTGTGTTCCCGTTGTGGGGTCTGGTAATGATCATTGGCGGCGTCCTCGCCGTCTCAGTCTTCTGCGTCACCAGGAACACCGACAAGCCTCGATTCCATGCTGTGAGTCTTACTGGTCGTGTTTCTTTTAGTAGAGCTCGTAAAATACACAACATATATAACCATTACAACAATTTGAGTTTGCACACTCCTATGCATGAACAATTTTAATAAACTAGTAGCATTTAATTACCCAACAGTATTTTCACTATGCATGCAGGTATATCTGTATTGAATAGGTGACTAAATATAGACAGCAACTCTGATGCTCTTGATAATGCACAGATGCATAATGTCTAGATTTTATGAAATTTTTTAGACAGTTTGACATTTTGGAAAGCACTTGAACCAACTCAAATTAGAAATCTCCAGATAAGGCTCTGAAGCAGAATTATGTTTACATGAGGTTTTATACATTATTTTGCAAATACCCAGTCACCTGGAACAAGGGAGTACAAATATACTGACATCCCAAAGAAACCTATCGGTACCTGATGTGATTGATATCATGTAGGGGTGAAACGGTACGTGCTTACGACGGTACGGTACGTATTGCGGTACAAGGCCTTCGGTTCAGTCTGTTTTAGTTCGGTATAAGAGACATTATCATAATGCAGAAAATTTACAACAAGAGGCAAACCTTACATTGTTTAATAACATGGGAAACAAATAATCATAATCTTTGTTATTTTTTTAATGAACAAAACTGTCATTTCATGAAGAAGAAGAATTAAAATATCACTGGAACCTTGGAGCTCACAGCTGTGTGGCAAAATAGCAAGAAGCCAAGTATGATTAAAAGTCATTAACATCACCATCAGCATTTACTGCAGTGAAATCACCACGTCCCAGAAAATGTTCATGCTTAAAAAACACTAAAAACAATACACAAATCAGATCTTGTCGAATGTGACTCTGTTGATGACATATCACGGATAAATAAATTAAACTAATTAACTCAACACAGTTGTCATAAGACAGTCTGTGTGACAGATGATTGTCCTTGATCTAAATCATTGCCTATCTCTCATTTCAGTCGGTTAAACATTTAGAGACTTTCAAGTTTCCACAGTCCTTGGGAAGTACTGCTACACAATCTTGGCACATTCCAGAATTTTGTTTTGTTCAGTTTTCAGATTCATTCAAAATATATTTTAAAGTTCACTCAGAAATGTATTTCTCCTTTCTGAAACAAATATGTTTTAGCTTGAGAAAGCTGCTTTCTCTTTTTTATCCGTCGTTAAATGTTCATTGTTCTGATATAGCTTGCAATGAGATGGTAGCAACAACAAACAAACATATGTCGTAAGAACTGTGATGGGAAAGCCACCAGATCCATACCCGTAACTGCAGTTATCCCTCGCTATAACTCCGGTCTTTCGGGTCCATGGATGACTCCCCCCGAGTTATGAGACGCCTGCATTATACATAACCCGGGAATAAAAGCCCAGTTAAAATTATTTTCCATGGACATAACAGAACTGCTATTTCGTGTATTGTGCCCAGTCAAAACTATATCATATCGTCAGAGGTGAAAGAACAAATTTTGTAAATGAAAATAAATATGTGTATTGGAAACCTGCAATCAAATTAAACATCACTAGACATGATAATTCAGTTGTCCTTCCTGTTATGCTACCTGTTATTTAAAGGTCACATGCAACCAAAAGATCAAACATAATTAAAACACGATTATCACTTATTCATGACATATAATATACATTGCTGGTTATGAAAAAACATATAAACAAAATTATAAGCGTACAATTGCAAATCAAAAGTGCAAAATTGTGTACTTCGGTTTACTTCCCAAGAAACGAAGCAGCCGGGATACCGAACCCAGTCAGAGCGGGTGGGTGTGCACTCAAGTGTAACGGCTGGTTCATTTGCAGATGCCCTCACGGCTAATTGTGTGTGTATATACATATAGAGATGTTGGGTTTTGTAAATACATGCTCATTTTTTGTGTATAACATTTTGCAATCAACAGACATCATAACATGTCATGTGTTCAAGTATCACACCTGCCTGTCTGTGTAATTACATAATATGACAGAGACCGAACTCGGGCCATAAATCAATGCATTTTGTTTATGGTGTATAGCCTGATTGGTGTTAAGTTCAAATTGCATGTGGTCAGTGATACCAGCTGTGTATTGAATATTGTCATTAGCAGACAGGCGGGCAGACACACAGGTGTCAATAAAACAAGACATTGAGTTTTGTCTGTGACAACGCCATATCTATATCACAGTTAGAAATTCTGTCAACGCTAAATAATGACATTGCTTTTAAGCATCGAACTGAGAAAGTGTCTCGTAAGAAGAACGCGGTGGTGAAATAGATAAATGAAATTATATAAACAGTTAATTTACTGTCATAACATATAAAAGCTCGCTTCGTGAGATATCAACAAAACATTAGAAAAATAGCTCACACCAAAGCCTTCACCGAAGTATTCACCGGACAACCCGCTTCCAAGCTGCGCGAACCTATTTACTTGCGCACGTGCTATGAGCGCAGCCCAGCTGTTGAAACCCGTTTTCCCCAGAAAAGTCTGGGGAAAATTAGTGAAACGTTTGAACTCCGATTTCGCGCGTTTTTTTTCATCGCGTTATTTTTCAACTTTATAAGTTGAATTTGCATTTTTGACGATTTGTTTCGGTAAGTCCATACCGAAAGATATCAGAATCTGCAAAGTTGTGTTTTACGTTGCATGTGACCTTTAACTAAGCTGAAAATAGCAATCAGCTGTGTACTCATGTTTTGCTCCAATCTACCGGTGAATCAGTTAAAAACGACCTGAAAATGTAACATCAAAGGATTTCTATCCATTATCAGAATAATTTATATCTTAAGCAGTTATTTTAACAGAGATATTATATATTGCTATCGTTTTAGTATAATGCATGTTTTCTACGAACGTATTTAACATAATAATTAACATGTTCAGCACTTTGGGTTACGTGCCTGGATACATTTTACGTATGAGACAGTTTGACAAGTCACTGTTGACTTCCCACGGTACCTGTCTCTTTGATTGTGAAAACACAATATTGGCAATTAATTGTGAAATATGACTTCAATGAGTCAATAACGCGGGTCTTGGGGTCCATGGATGACGAGGCGGTAATCTGTTCGGGATTGCTGAGAATAATGTGAAACTTGTACTAACGCGATAGGCACGAAAAGCGGACCCTTTTGAACAAGGTAAGCGGAAGTGGTACTCGTATAGAAAGGTGATGTCATTTCACACACGTTTTCTCCAATGTTACTGTAAATAGTTTTAATGAATGAAAATGGGATTAAATTTAATCAAATTAAATGAAATCGAGGTAGATCGTTTTATTATGAGTTTTCTGACATCATGCATTTTCGGATGGCAGTGTTTACTCTTGCTATAAGGCACTGTGTTGCATCACAGCAAACATCGTAAGTACTCGGCTGATTGTGTGTATTTATGATAAAGTTGACTTCGATAAGTTATTACGATGTTTCGCTGTTCATCTGATTTGAAATAACTGAAAAAGAAACCGAACTCAGCTATTGATTAGTATCTGCAGTTGCTGTCTTGCTGACTTTGTAAGTAGACGACTTGAGACAATCTCGAACTTACTTCGAGGAAAACAGCGGCCGTCAAGCAAAGAAATGCATAGATTTTGAACAAATGATGCGATTTCTAGACATTTTAGAAAAGGTTTAAAATTGTTAATAAAATGACGGTACGAAAACTGAAAAAAACAAAGTTTTGGATTGCATTATGGTATATCAAACCGAAGGCAAAATACCGCAGTTCTACTAATACTGCGGTATACCGTTTCACCCCTAATATCGTGTGAGTGAATACCCGGGGGATATCATAATGGTGGTGTCTGAAGGCTGAGTTTATTGTGATGGAGGGAATCCCTGTTGTGTGTTTACTGTTGGCCTTGCAGGAGTGAGTGAGTGACAAGTATTTCTGTTAGGTCAGCTTGGTGAGGGATTAAGGACCTGACCATGGATCATAATCCCTGTCCATAGGGATGTGAACCCAGACCTGTTACAAGTGGGAGGACTAAGGGACATAACTCTGTGCAGCCAGTTGTCAGTACAGGATTGTTACTAGATATAGAACAGCTATATTTGCTCCCCTGATTGTACGTCCTCGTTTCTGTGTTTCAGTTGTTTGCCTACCTGGGTTTTGTTGTCGCTGTTGTCTGGATCTACTCAGTCGCTAACGAGATCGTCAACATTCTGCAGGTCAGGTGGAAATATGTCACTCTAATTTAATTCCAACCAATCCTCAAATCATTATAGTATTAGTTGTACTGCAAAGATCCAGTTCCAAACTGTCAGTGCAGGACATATCATGGATCTTGTGATTGCTGTGGTCTAGTGGATGGAGCGTCTACTTGGAGAGCAGCTGCTGGTTCGATCCCCAGTCACACAAAAACACATGTTAATAGATGAAGAATGATGACAATTTTTATGGGTATACAACTTCTTTTATTTTGTGAAGAGCGATGTTTCGACATTACAATCTATGTCGAAACATCGCCCTTCACAGAATAAAAGAAGTTGTATATCCATAAAAATTGTCATCATTCTTCATCAACTCAACTTGTAAAATGCATATCAAAGAAATGTTAATAGATGGTACTGGTGGTTACCCTGGATGGCTTTGATGGAGTCCATGTTGCACTGTGTCATCGTATCTCAGTGGGCGTCTCTATTGCACTGTCATGGAGAATATGTTTTAAATTACATCACATAAAAGAGTATTTGAATCAGTAATAATATAGGTGAATGTGGATGGATCATGTTAAATGTACTTATGTGTAGCAAGGCATGGTGCCATCCAATCGATAACAGCCATACCTTGACAACATGCCTTGTTAGTCTGGAGTACAGAGCACCTAACCTCCGATCAAAAGGTCCATTGATCAAGTGCCATAATGGGACTTTGAAATTGTTATGGCTGATGCTCTTTCATAAAATAATATATATTTGTGCTGAAATTGATATGCTTTACTTATTCTGCACAAGCTGTAAACCATTATTATTATATATTATTATTATGTATAAAAAGAATCCTTGATCATAATAAAATGATAAATAGCAATTATTTCCTGCAGTAATTAAATTTGAGCCGAGGGATTCACTACCAGACAGCCCAGGTGTTGTGGCAGCTGTGGAACAAGGGAGATAACTCCGGTGCTGACAGCAACATAAAATGACAAGATATTTAGGAGCATTATAGTATTTGACGTTGTCATTTCAGACATTTGGTATTGTGTTCAACATCAGCAATGCCATCCTGGGACTGACATTCCTGGCCTGGGGCAACAGTATAGGAGGTGAGTCTAGAGACGGAGTATAGGAGGTGAGTCTAGAGATGGAGTATAGGAGGTGAGTCTAGAGACGGAGTATAGGAGGTGAGTCTAGAGACGGAGTTTAGGAGGTGAGTCTAGAGATGGAATATAGGAGGTGAGTCTAGAGACGGAGTATAGGATGTGAGTCTAGAGACGGAGTATAGGAGGTGAGTCTAGAGATGGAGTATAGGAGGTGAGTCTAGAGACGGAGTATAGGAGGTGAGTCTAGAGACGGAGTATAGGAGGTGAGTCTAGAGACGGAGTATAGGAGGTGAGTCTAGAGACGGAGTATAGGAGGTGAGTCTAGAGATGGAGTATAGGAGGTGAGTCTAGAGACGGAGTATAGAGGTGAGTCTAGAGATGGAGTATAGGAGGTGAGTCTAGAGACGGAGTATAGGAGGTGAGTCTAGAGACGGAGTACGGAGGTGAGTCTAGCATGGAGTATAGGAGGTGAGTCTAGAGACGGAAGTATAGGAGGTGAGTCTAGAGACGGAGTATAAGAGGTGAGTCTAGAGACGGAGTATAGGAGGTGAGTCTAGAGATGGAGTATAGGAGGTGAGTCTAGAGATGGAGTATAGGAGGCGAGTCTAGAGACGGAGTATAAGAGGTGAGTCTAGCGACGGAGTATAGGAGGTGAGGCTAGAGAGCCCGAGTATAGGAGGTGAGTCTGGAGATGGAGTATAGGAGGTGGAGTCTAGAGACGGCAGTATAAGAGGTGAGTCTAGAGACGGAGTATAGGAGGTGAGTCTAGAGATGGAGTATAGGGAGGTGAGTCTAGCGACGGAGTATAGGAGGTGGAGTCTAGAGATGGAGTATAAGAGGTGAGTCTAGAGGCCTTATATAGGAGGTGAGGAATCTAGAGATGGAGTATAGGAGGTGAGTCTGGAGGCAGGAGTATAGGGAGATAAGTCTAGGAGATGAGTATAGGAGGTGAGTCTAGAGACCCAGAAGTATAGGAGGTGAGTCTAGAGATGGAGTATAGGAGGTGAGTCTAGAGGCGGAGTATAGGAGGTGAGTCTAGAGAGCGGAGATAGGAGGAGAGTCTAGAGATGGAGTATAGGAGGTGAGTCTAGAGACGGAGTATAGGAGGTGAGTCTAGAGATGGAGTAAAGGAGGTGAGTCTAGAGATGGAGTATAGGAGGTGAGTCTAGAGACGGAGTGGAGGAGTGAGTCTAGTCTATACAGGAGGTGAGTCTAGAGAGGAGTATGGAGGTGTGAGTCTAGAGATGGAGTATAGGAGGTGAGTCTAGAGACGAGTATAGGAGGTGAGTCTAGAGATGGAGTATAGGGAGGTGAGTCCAGAGGATAGGAGTATAGGAGGTGAGTCTAGAGATGGAGTATAGGAGGTGAGTCTAGAGACGGGTATAGGAGGTGAGTCTAGAGATGGAGTATAGGAGGTGAGTCTAGAGACGGAGAGATAGGAGGTGAGTCTAGAGATGGAGTATAGGAGGTGAGTCTAGAGAGGAGGGTATAGGAGGTGGAGTCTAGAGACGGAGTATAGGAGGTGAGTCTAGAGATGGAGTATAGGAGGTGAGTCTAGAGACGGAGTATAGGAGGTGAGTCTAGAGATGGAGTATAGAGGAGGGTGAGTCTAGAGGCGGAGTATAGGAGGTGAGTCTAGAGATGGAGTATAGGAGGTGTGAGTCTAGAGACGGAGTATAGGAGGTGAGTCTAGAGATGGAGTATAGGAGGTGAGTCTAGAGGCGGAGTATAGGAGGTGAGTCTAGAGCAGGATAGGAGAGGAGGTGAGTCTAGAGGCGAGTATAGGAGGAGGTGAGTCTAGAGGCTGAGGAGTATAGGAGGTGAGTCTAGAGATGGAGTATAGGAGGTGAGTCTAGAGACGGAGTATAGGAGGTGAGTCTAGAGATGGAGTATAGGAGGTGAGTCTAGAGACGGAGTATAGGAGGTGAGTCTAGAGACGGAGTATAGGGAGGTGAGTCTAGAGACGAGTATAGGAGGTGAGTCTAGAGGTGAGTATAGGAGGTGAGTCTAAGAGATGGAGTATAGGAGGTGAGTCTAGAGATGGAGTATAGGAGGTGAGTCTAGAGAGCGAGAGTATAGGAGGTGGAGTCTAGAGATGGAGTATAGGAGGTGGAGTCTAGAGAGACGGAGCATAGGAGGTGAGTCTAGAGGAATTAGTATAGGAGGTGAGTCTAGAGACGGAGCAATAGGAGGTGAGTCTGGAGATGGAGTATAGGAGGTGGAGTCTAGAGGACGGAGTGATGGAGGTGAGTCTAGAGGCGGAGTATAGGAGGTGAGGCCGAGTCGAGAGATGAGAGTATAGGAGGTGAGTCTAGGGCGGAGTATAGGGAGGTGAGTGAGAAGGCGAGTATAAGAGTGAGTATAGAGGCGAGGTACAGGGAGTCTAGAGTCTACAAGAGGCAGGAGTATAGGAGGTGTGAGTCTAGAGACCCGGAGCATAGGGTATAGGAGAGACTGGTGAGTCTAGAGAGCCGGAGTATAGGAGGTGAGTCTAGAGATGGAGTATAGGAGGTGAGTCTAGAGATGGGTATAGGAGGTGAGTCTAGAGATGAGTATAGGAGGTGAGTCTAGAGATGGAGTATAGGAGGTGAGTCTAGAGATGGAGTATAGGAGGTGGAGTCTAGAGGCGGAGTATAGGAGGAGGTGAGTCTAGAGATGGAGTAAAGGAGGTGAGTCTAGAGATGGAGTATAGGAGGTGAGTCTAGCGACTGAGTATGGGAGGTGAGTCTAGAGATGGAGTATTTGAGGTGAGTCTAGAGATGGAGTATAGGAGGTGAGTCTAGAGACGGAGTATAGGATTGAGTCTAGAGACGGAGTATAGGAGGTGAGTCTAGAGATGGAGTATAGGAGGTGAGTCTAGAGACGGAGTATAGGATTGAGTCTAGAGGCGGAGTATAGGAGGGTGAGTCTAGAGATGGAGTATAGGAGGTGAGTCCAGAGGCAGGAGTATAAGAGGTGAGTCTAGCGGCCCAGTATAGGAGGTGAGTCCAGAGGCGGAAGTATAGGAGGTGAGTCTAGAAGCCGGAGTATAAGAGGTGAGTCTAGAGGCGGAGTATAGGAGGTGAGTCTAGAGGCGGAGTATAGGAGGTGAGTCTAGAGAGGCGGAGATAGGAGTGTGAGTCTAGAGGCGGAGTATAGGAGGTGAGTCTAGAGGCGGAGTAGGAGGTGAGTCTAGAGACGGAGTATAGGAGGTGAGTCTAGAGACGGAGTATAGGAGGTGAGTCTAGAGATGGAGTATAGGAGGTGAGTCTAGAGATGGAGTATAGGAGGTGAGTCTAGAGACGGAGTATAAGAGGTGAGTCTAGCGACGGAGTATAGGAGGTGAGTCTAGAGACGAAGTATAGGAGGTGAGTCTGGAGATGGAGTATAGGAGGTGAGTCTAGCGACGGCGTATAGGTGAGTCTAGAGACGGAGTATAGGAGGTGAGTCTAGAGATGGAGTATAGGAGGTGAGTCTAGCGACGGAGTATAGGAGGTGAGTCTAGAGACGGAGTATAAGAGGTGAGTCTAGAGACGGAGTATAGGAGGTGAGTCTAGAGATGGAGTATAGGAGGTGAGTCTAGAGACGGAGTATAGGAGGTGAGTCTAGCGACGGAGTATAGGAGGTGAGTCTAGAGATGGAGTATAGGAGGTGAGTCTAGAGACGGAGTATAGGAGGTGAGTCTAGAGACGGAGTATAGGAGGTGAGTCTAGAGATGGAGTATAGGAGGTGAGTCTAGAGACGGAGTATAGGAGGTGAGTCTAGAGATGGAGTAAAGGAGGTGAGTCTAGAGATGGAGTATAGGAGGTGAGTCTAGCGACTGAGTATGGGAGGTGAGTCTAGAGATGGAGTATTTGAGGTGAGTCTAGAGATGGAGTATAGGAGGTGAGTCTAGAGACGGAGTATAGGAGGTGAGACTAGAGACGGAGTATAAGAGGTGAGTCTAGAGATGGAGTATAGGAGGCGAGTCTAGGGACAGAGTAGTAGGTGTGCGTTTGTTTGTTTGAACAAGTAGTGGAACCTGTTTTGATCACTCAGTCTTTACATCATATGTGTGAAACATCTGAAAATCTACTGGCTAAGATCCTGACAGCATGGAATATTTATCGTCGTCAAAGTGACTGTCTCACTATCCATTTGTTTCTCTGTCATAGCACTTGCACATGTCCAATATGAAATCAAGTAGTACATTGAAGAATTCCACCTGGGCCAAAGAAACACCTTTACTTCACACGAGTTAACTGTTCTGCATTATATAATGAAATACTATAATATCTGAAAATGTCTAATTGATAGGGCAGTGGGGTATCCCAGTGGTTAATGCATTCTTTCATCACACCAAAGACCCGGGTTCGATTCCCCACATGGGTACAATGTGTAAAGACCATTTCTGGTGTCCCACCACCATGATATTGCTGGAATGTTGCTAAAAATTCATTCATTCACTCACTCACTCATGATAGTCAAGTTTTGAGAATAACATCATGAAGATCCGTATGGAGGAAGTGAGAGTATTTGTAATGAAACCATGTTGTGTGGTATTACTATGATGTTATTATCAGTTATTACAATGATGAGGTGTGGTATTACAATGATGATGAGGTGTGGTATTACTATGATGTTATTATCAGTTATTACAATGATGATGAGGTGTGGTATTACTATGATCTTATTATCACTTATTACAATGATGATGAGGTGTGGTATTACTATGATGTTATTATCAGTTATTACAATGATGATGAGGTGTGGTATTACTATGATGTTATTATCAGTTATTACAATGATGATGAGGTGTGGTATTACTATGATGTTATTATCAGTTATTACAATGATGGTGAGGTGTGGTATTACTATGATGATGAGGTGTGGTATTACTATGATGATGAGGTGTGGTATTACTATGATGATGAGGTGTGGTATTACAATGATGATGAGGTGTGGTATTACTATGATGATGAGGTGTGGTATTACTATGATGATGAGGTGTGGTATTACTTTGATGATTTATGTGTGTTTGACGATCCTGATTCTTCCTTGCAGATCTAATAGCCGACTTTGCGATGGCACGGCAGGGGTACCCTCGGATGGGCATCTCGGCCTGCTTCGGTGGCCCTCTCTTCAGTATCCTGTCCAAATTGTTTGTTTTTTGTTTAATGCTGCATCTGTAGATATTCAGACAACAGACACCCCATGCCACCCCCACAGACCTGTCCAGAATGTAAATAATTTTTAGACCAGCTGAACATCCATGGGAAAGTAAAATTGATCTGTTTCAAACTGTCTGTTGCTATAGCTTGATCATAAATGTATTGAAGGAGTTTGACGTGGGAGTATTGCATATGAGATTATTCCGTCCTTATCACTGACAGACATATTACTAGGCATCGGAATCCCCTTCACGATTGGCACGTTTAAGAGAGGAGGAAGCTATGAGGTGGGTCTAGTGTCATTATCCTTGTGTCTCCTATAGTTTGGGGATTTTCTACACTGTGACATGAATGTATGGAGTATTAGGCCAAAACATTGGGTACTGTTTCCGCGTAGTTTTAACCAGGGGCATATAACTCTGCTTTCCCCAAAATTGGATTAATTTTGCTGTGATGAACTACCATTAATATGCTGCATAAAACTCAAAAACAAAATCAGATGTTTCAAGATCATTTCTGAAGCAGGAAGTTACTGTTTCTTACAAACTAATTATTAGTGGTGAAACGGTATACCACGGTATGTTGCCTTCAGTTCGGTATACTGTAATGCAATCCTAAAATTTGGTATTTTCGGTTTTTTGTACCCCCATTTTATCAACCTTTTTTAAACCTTTTCTAAAATGTCAAGAAATCGAATCATTTTGTCAAAATCTATGCATTTCTGTAAGGTTTAGCTCTTGTTGTCCATTTTGATCATATCTCATATGCCGAACCGAAACAAACCAAACCGAAGGCTTTGTACCGCAATACGTACTGTACCATGGTAAGAGCGTACCGTTTCACCTCTACTAATTATAGATTTTTTACAGTGAAGTGGGCATCTGTTGAAATTTTGGAAGTGTGATGACAGCCAAAGTACCTGTTTTATGGCAGTGATGTGAGGTAGTGTTCCTTCAATTACTGTCGATGTAAGTACTATATTTGATTGTAGTTGTTTGATAACAGATACCTTGTGCCTGTTGTAGCTGCGGCTGACGTTGGTGGAGCTGATCCTGGCCGGCTTCCTCTGTCTCAGTCTCGTGTCCTCACTCATCATTGTGCCGCTCTCCGGGTTTCGAATGTCAAGGCCATACGGAATATTCCTCTTCATCCTGTACGGGGTGTTCATCACGGTGGCCATGTTGGCTGAGACCAATGTAATCCATGCCAACGTCTGATGAGCTTTTGTAGTTGTCACCATGACAACAGATTACATTGCAGTCATCACCATGACAACAATTTCACAACCATGTCACAGTTACATTCCAGATAGCTGTTGTTAATGACACAGTTGCATCTCATTGGTTCTCTTGAGGTGTTGCCATGGTGACAAGTAAGCATGACAGATATCAATCTACCCCTTTTGTTCTATTTAGCCATTATCCTGGATTATACAGAGGGTGTATATAGCCTCGGTCATAAACTGCCACTTAGTCTCTGAAAAATATAATTTTGATAGAAACAATTCCCCTTGCATTGGAAAGGAGCCCCAGTGAGATGGGAGATAGTGAACCTGAGGATATCTAGACTTGCTTCATTTAGGGCATTATTATTACAGAAAGGGCTTTAAGGAAGGGAAATAATATGGTTCAGGGACTGAGACAGACTACCTAAACCTGTATTGGAGGCTATTGGTCTCCAATCCTGTACGGGTCTCTTTTGGTTCACTGTGAACTTGTGCCTGTGAGTGTCCTGTAGGTGTCCTAAGAGCTTTGTTAGTTTCCTGTGAGTGTTTGGTTGACTGAGTGTCATGTGTAGGTGTCCTGTGAGTTGGTTGGGTGTCCTACTAGTGTGTTGGTGAATGCAGGTGTCCTGTGTGGGTGTGCTACTAGTGTGTTGGTGACTGCAGGTGTCCTGCTAGTGGGTTGGTGACTGCAGGTGTCCTATGTGGGTGTCCTGTGAGTGTGTTGGTGACTGCAGATGTCCTACGTTATTGTCTGGTCTGTGTGAATTTGCGTGTTGTCTGTTGATGTTTATCCTGAGAGTTTAACAGAAATATATTTTTTTAGGTATATTTATCATATGTTAAACATCAAAATACTCTTTAAGCAATCTGATATAGAATATACAGATATACGATGTTCCTGTTTTATAGTGAATCGACATACTGATACATTGTATTTCTATGAAATATATTGAAATGATATACTGATTATACATTGTTTTTCTATGTAATAAAGTACATCTGTATATACTAATACATTGTATTTCTATGTAATATCTTGTATGGTTACATTGTATATATGTTCTCTTACATTGTGTATCTATGTACTACATGGTATGTGACACATGGTAACACTGTTACCTTGTATATCAGTTTACTGTTTAGGAAAAACTTATGTCACTTGACTGTCGCTTGTCTTGATACGGACAACACTCTCAACTGTCATATATAGTTTACATATTATGGGTTGTCTTGTATCATGATACAGGTATATACTGTATCTTGTATCATACCGAAGACCAGCTGCCATATAGCTGGAATATTGCTGAGTGCGGCGTAAAACTAAACTCACACACTCACACACTCACTCACTCACTCACACTCACTCACTCACTCACTCACTCACTCACTCACTCACTCACTCACTCACCGAAGACCACATTGTGGTACATATGATTGTTGTGTCCTTCATGACGCCACGATATGTGTCTTGCTTCACAAGAATTAGTCAGTAGATTGGTAACATTAGAATGACTCCATCTCCATATGGACCATAAATATATAAATATCTATACCATGACAATTAACTTGATTATGGTCATTTATCCTGATAATACTTATTTGATTTCAATTGACACATCATTTGGGAGGATGTCAAATATATTTACTTGATTTCCTTCTCCATAAACACAAATAGTCCTTGTTCAACAGGTGTCATTATGTTGAGTCAATCTGCTATACACGTTTCTTTAATATCTGTATTATCTTCAAAATACATGGTTCAATGCAGCTGGATTAAGATTGTATTCTGCTGAAGACGTTTCTACTTCCATGTAAGTCTTTATACAACTGCTCTACATTTTGGTTAGTAGGGGATATAGCTTATATAGGGATATATGACTTTGTCATCCTGCGCTTTTGAATATATCATGTTAATATTTTGTTTGTGAATTTATCATAGACATTGTATGTATGTATTTTCCAACTTTACCTCTCTGTGAAGCGTACAACAAGTATATCCCATCAAATGTTCATTGACTTACGTCCCTTGGATGTACCAGATTATGTTTCGTGGTTTGTTAGCACTGTTCCTGCTCTCTCTGGTTTTGCAAAAGTGGTGAACGTGTAAAACTGAAAACTGACATGATGTGATATAACAGGAATGTTGACCCAACTCTCTCGCTGGACAGGGGCAGTGGGGTAGCCTAATGATTAAAGTGTCCACCTGTCACCCCGACGACACTGGTTTGATTCCCCGTATGGGTACAATGTGTGAAGCCCTTTGATATTGCTGGAATATTGCTAAAACCATACTCACTCCCTCATGTGGAAAATGACCTTACTCTCAGAGACCATGTTATGTTGTTATGTGTTTCTGTAAACAGGTGCTTCTATCCTGGGCGTTTGAACACCACAGTATTTCCTTATATAATACCTTATTTGAAGGGGTAGTAAGGGGTAACTCTGGGGTGTGACAACTTGTGTAAAGGGGGGAGGGGACATATCTCTGCAGGGAGAATCCACCTACTTAATACTTCCCCTGCACACTGGGTCACCAAGGTTACAGTTTGACCCTTGGGTCACCAAGGTTTCAGTTTGACCCTTGGGTCACCAAGGTTGCAGTTTGACCCTTGGGTCACCGAGGTTGCAGTTTGACCCTTGATGAAAATGCTGCAAATCAGCTGCACACCCAAATACTGTGTAATACTGCTTAATACTGACCAGTCGTACTGGTACTATGTGCAATAAACTCATGATTAAAGATTATTATTTTTGTATCTGACGTACATGTTGTCTTTTAAAGAATTCATTAATGACTGGAATAGTCCTTGCCCCTGTAACAGCGTGGTTGTTGAAGGTGGAACTAGGTCATCCTGATCAGGGAAGATCCCGGATGTTGATTGGTTGGATACAGTGTGTAAAATGACACCTTCGTGACATCATGGAGCTGAAATACTGCTACTGACTGCACATAAAGGGACCTTCATATATTGACACCTTGTGTCTGTATGCCTTCTGAAGATTGGGTTTTGTTGATGTTTAACGCTTCTCTCGGCAATATTCCAGCTATATAGCAGTGGTCTGTACATAATCGAACCTGGGCCAGACAATCCTATGATCAACAGCATGAGCATCAATCTACGCATTTCAGATACGATCACATGTCAGCGAACCTGACCACCCGATCTCTAAAGACAAGCATGGGTTGCTGAAGACCAAACTTTTTCGTTTTTCGTATTAGTATGATGTGATGATTTGAAATTCCTAGATCACCGGGGATGTTCTGTTTATACACCTTCAAGGAGCTCACCATCACCATTCAGAAATATGTTTAGCCTTCGCTCTTGCATCTCTTAGCTTTCTGGGGATGTATGACTGATAGGGAATCAAATAGTATAGATCTAACGGCAACCCTTGATTTACCTTGGACTGGGCAGGGGCGTGATCTTGACCCTATGTACAGTGCCAAGTGAACAGCGGATTCGGAATGGCGGCAAGATGTGTCAAGGTACTTTTTATCCCCCGCAACACGTTTTGCGGGGGTATTAAAATGGACTCCATCCGTCCGTGCATGCGTCCATGCGTCCGTGCACATTTGTCTTTCCGGAGCAGAACTTTAAAACCGTTCAATATTTCTTCACCAAACTTGGCACATGGATAGATCTGGTTGTGTACTGGTGCCTTTTGGTATTTTTGGTATCCTGAATTAAATATTTTGGGCGTTTCCATGGCAACAAGTTTGACTTAGACTGAAATTTGTGGTAGTGCTCTTTTCCGTAGCAGAACTCTAAAACCGTTCACTATTTCTTCACCAAACTTGGCACATAGATTGGTCTGGTGGTGTACTGGTGCCTTTTGGTAGTTTTAGATTTCTGAATGAAATATTTTTACATTTCCATGCCAACAAGTTTGACTTAGACTGAAATTGGTGGTAGTGCTCCTTTCTGGAGCAGGGCCTAGATTTTCGAAGCTCTCTCAGCGCTAAGATAGTCGTAAGTGCCATACATTAACATTAACTTACGACTATCTTAGCGCTAAGAGAGCGTCGAAAATCTAGGCCCAGAACTTTTAAAACCTTTCAATACTCTCCTTCCACTTTTTTATATACACACCCAAACATTTGACATAATCATAACTCGTAGATATATTCCTCGAGAGAGTTTTGCCATTGCGGGGGATATTGTTTTCACCAAGCTGTGACGTAAGAAGACTACTTCAGCTTTCAGTTGAATATGAGTGAGGATTTTGAATTGAAATTTGTCAGGCAACTGCGGACGGTGATGTGAAATAGGAATTAACGTCGTATAGTTATCACTGTCGTAATTTTAATGATTCACAGTTAAAAGTCTCCGAGCAACCCAGGCCTTGTTTCATCTTCTTAATGTCAGGAAACAACATATGTTAATGTCTTCAGTTAGAAGCAGCGACCTTCCACTCTCCGGGCAGGTGCTCTGTCCACTCGACGAAGGAGGCGGTCCTGTTATACTATGACGTCGTGAAAAACCTTATGTCTATGTTTAGGTCCAGTAAAGCTAATTAGGTTTATATCAAACTATCCAAATTGGCTATTAATGGACATGATGCAAAGTGACGAAGCCTAAGTTTCACATCTGGCACCGATCATGAAATGTAAACCATATGAATAAACTCCGTTTGAAAATATTTCTTTACAGAAAAACTCACTCACTCAGTCTTTTCCGCGTAATTATTTACTATATCAGGAATGTGCGGAAAATTAGAAGATAAAGCTACTCGGTTTTCAATTTCGCGGTCCTTTATCGTTGATTTAAGACCGCCAAATGTAATTTAAAAACCGAACATTTAGCGGTCTGTATGGCTGTTAAATATGCTTAATATATCGGTGATTTAACAGGTGCACCTATACAGCCGAAAATGATATTTCAATATACATATAACATTAATTCCTCGGGAACAAATTATTGACATATCAGATTTCCTTTTCGTTTTCAAGACGTTAGTTGAAACTGAACCTTTGTGTGTAGTGTTTGTGGATCTGTAAAACCATTGAATGTGTCTAGACGAGTGCTAGCAGACAGACACACACACAGACGCGCGCATACAGAGAGACTCAATGCACAGGCACGCACACAGATGCGAGCACATACACCGTTAAAGAGATCCTGTCTGTCCCAACACTTCCGGCTCGCATTCCCCTCCTAGTGATGCAAGTATGGGTAGGGCAATGGACTTGACACATGAAAACCATTTGGGGAATCAAACCCGATCTTCAGCGTGACGAGCAAACACGTGAACCGCTATACTATATTCACACGTTTACGACATACACGACAAAAGAATAATGTTCGAGATCATTTTATTAAAAAAAGGTAATAACTCAAGAAGAACATACATACGAAGGTAACACCGCGGGAAATATATTGCATGGACAATGAATACAATCATTACACACCACGTACAATGGAAGAGGAGTTAAACTGGTTCCCGGTCGCTTGAAGACAGTCACCTAGTCTACCACACGGTGGTGTCTGTGGAGGGAGTTGACAGCGCAGCGACAACAGGGGACCAGTCAAGGGAAGGATTGGTCTTATATATAAAGTACACGGGGAAGTTATATAATGTTGATATGGACATATGGACGAGAAATCGGTAAATATCTATTTGTTCTACAAACTAAACATTACACGCAATATGAAATTGCACGTTTGTAGCAACACCTTAAAAGAATATTATCTAAGGACAAATAAATATTTATTTTGCACATATATAAATTAAGAAACAATATTAAAAAAACACTACCGAAGCATGGTTTCATAGCCGTGATATACAGACAACCCCGACAACCCGGATTAGACTATGGACATCATGATGCCCACAAATGTATTGCCGAGTGGGTAATATTTGATATATCTCGATCCTTTCATGATGCACAAAACTGATTCTCAAAATATTACAAGAGTATGTTTAAACATAGGGTTATCCCATCCAAAAGTGGAGTCGATATATATAATCAGGTAGGAAAGTGAATATTTTTATAACTACGAGTATTTAGGTTAATGCTGAAACTGTCATTTAACCTAAGCTAGACGTTGACATTCTGGTGTTCATTTGGTGTACTTAGAATGAATTTGAACCCAGGACTAGGGTCTGATTTGCAAAGAGCGACGTTAGTGCCATGATGGCAGTACGTCCGTTTGCCAGTGTTATACACAATGATGGTTCAGTAGCACCACAAACATGATCCCGTGTGAGTGAGTGCACGCCGTACTGTGGCGCCATGACGGCGGGATATAAATGATCCAGTCTTGACCAGGCAAACCGGTGGTTGATATCACGAGCAATGCCCCTCTCCGTCAGAGTATGACCTCCAATCAAGTACCTGAGCCTAACCATTTGGTCCACTTAGTCGCCTCCAACGACCAACATAATTATGGGGGGCCGACTGGAACCCGGAATCAAGTAAGTTTGGAGCCGGTGCTATTATAATTCAATAGTCCAGTAATATCAAGAACTGGCTCCATGCATTGTATGCCCATGTAGAATTCGAACCCGAGACGAGGGAATGCCTTAACCTGCAGAGCGGTTCGGTAGCCAAGTGGTTAAAGTCTTCGAAGTTCTTGGTTCGAGTCCCCACATGCAGTGTAATAGGTCATGCGCATGTCTGATGTTCCCGTGATACAGCTGGAACGTTGCTAAAGGCAATTTAAAGCCACATTCAGCTTCAGTAAACCTTGAAACAATGACTGTTGACGTATATCTGAATAGAAGCACATACACAAGAACATACATGAATAAACACACTCCCTTGGTCGTCTTAAAGTTCACATCCATACTTGCGACAGTCTTGAAACGATTTGAACATTTATAGAAATACATCTTTGACGTGAAATGCATTCATAACGACTCGTTCCTTTCCGTGCAGAATGCCCCTTGGAGTCTCTTCACGAATGTTCGACTTTTAAAGGGAGTCATCGAGCGTTCATTAAAAGCGCTGCTTACGTCACTTATCTGTGTGTTCCTTCACGTATAAGTCTGGTACTCACACCACGTGTCGTGTGCACAAATGGAGTTCCATTGTGACGTATACAGGTCACGTGTCAGTTCCACCCAGGAGGTATTGCTCGATGTCTGTGTTTCTGCAGTATTGGACGGGTGGATGTAATCGGTTACCGATAGTTTGGTTTTGCAAAGTTCTGCCCCCCGGATGTAGGCTCGAGCTCGTAATCCCCACAATACACAGTTTAACGAGCACCTGTTCGTGACAGCTCCGATTGTTTATCAAAACACAAACATACATTAGCCGGAAGGTTCCGAATGTCTAGCAATCTATTTGCCAAGTTTAGACCGTCTTTCGCTGCTGGTCGGTCGCTTGTTTGGGGAATCTGGTTTTGACGCGCTTTTTCCAGATTTGTTTGTCTTTTTGAAGCGGTCTTTTCGATTCCTTGTGGCTGGTCGTGAAAGGTTGTTAAGTTTGACTGAAACAGCATATAACATACATAAACAACATGTGAGCCAGTGAACAACCAGCCAGCAGCAACAACACGTGCTTGTAATAAACAGCATGTTACATGGTTCATGCATGTGATACCATCATAACTGCGGCATTTAGATTTAAGGTTTGGATTGTGAGTTTTATATTTTTAGGCTTGTTGATTTACTCACTCACTCACTGGAAACCCATTCACTCACTCACCCATCAGGTCCGGGTTGACGTGTTCCAGGTTGTTCAACAGCGACACGTATCGGTTCTGGCCGTTCTCCCCCGCTTCTGAAACACGAAGAAAACCACACCCCTTAATATAGTGAAGGTTATGACTAGTGGTTTATGACAGTTTCATGCACATGTATACTACAAACGTTTAGGTAGTGAGGGAGATGGGTTTTACCCAGCATTCGACGGTATTTCAGTCATAGGGCATGTGTGCCCTTTTGTGTTCGAAATTGGTTGAAATCTCACAATTGATGATTGCTTCATTACCAACGAACAATCATCGATAAAAATTGGTTAGCGTCATTTTTCAGATTTTCCTATCCAGGTTGTTACTGCAGAAAAGTATAACATGTTGCAACTTGCTACATTAAAGTGATGACTAATATATCATGAACATAAACTTCCTGGAGTCTTAGAGAAATATTCAGTTAGTGGAGTGAGTTTTCTAAGAAATAAACATGTTTTCAGGCCCTGACAACTTCTAAGATATGTTCCATTGTCAAGTATTTCAAAGACTAAAACAGTAGTTCCAAAATCGTTTATGTTCGATTATGAGAAAATTTGATCGATTGCTTGGTCGTTTGGTCCCTGCGACCAATCATCGATTATTTCAGTTAATCGGAACACCACTAGTGCCCTATACACCCGGGTGTTTCGGCCACTCTGCAGTTCGTCAGACACCTTGGACTAACTTGTGGTCAACCTTGGACTGACGCACTGACCTACCCAATAGAACCAGTTACAGTTTCCATTAGGCGGAACTGGACCACCTCCTTAACAACAGTACAAAATATTACCGGTGCATGTTTGTTGACTTCCTGGCTACACTGCAGTCAGATGGAAGTCAACGGGGACACGGTGAATAATGGTTTGCCACTGGAGTTATGACGTCACTGACGAGCGTCAGGTAACGTCTATTGCCTGATGGAGAGCCAGGGTGGGTGCGACAGGGGTCACGACAGGTGCCCCTCACGTGGGAGTACAGCCAGAGCACAGCCCACAGACGTCTACCACGGGGGCACATGGAGCCTCACAACTCCCTACAATTACGTGTTAATCCAATAGATATATAAATATAGTGTGCAAATATACAGTTCGGTCGATATCGATGTATGCACGGGTGATTGAAGGTAATTGAATGCGAGTGTGCTCATGCATATGAAAAAATATCTTTCGTTCACGTCAGAGTGTTGGCCTGGAGGGCTTGCAGGCAGTGATGTGTGATGCTTTAGTTCATACAGATTCACCACTGATACGTACTGTACCTTGGTTAGTATAAAGAATTCACACACGGTGAAATATTGAACCAAGGCCGTGTAGCTCACATGAATGTTCTGGAATATTTCTTTCTTTCTTTTTTTAATTTTAAACGTCAGTTATACAGGTATAATATTGAATTGTACAGGATTCGTAAAAGTTATTTCCACACAATATAGTCACAGTGTATCACACTACAGACGATTACGGGACTAAATAACGGAGATGCATGCATGTACAAGACACGAACCATACTGATATTAGAGAAAGACAGCAAGTGATATCTAAAGACTGGAAGATACGAATATAACGCATGACCTAAATACAGTACAGTGCCAAATCCTTTTTTTCGCAAACAACGGCGAAAAGCACCAATTTGGACTTGAGAAACAGTATCGCTAGAAATAATGTAAGACTAGTTACAGGATGATGCAACGCTCGGGGTGTACGCTCGGTTACTACCTTTAACGAACCCATTCTGCACAGGTAAGCTAAACATAGAAACGGAAACCTGAAATAAGTTGACCTTTTAATCCCACGGCTACGAACACTACCACTGAGGTATATAGAAACACTATGTATGGCAACATGCCCCTGTCAAACACAAAGGCGGTCTCCCGTGGGGTAAATCTGATCTGTGTGTGATACCACCCCAAGAATGTTGGTACATGGTTCGTGTGACACCTTTCTCTGTTTCCATTACACGGCTACCTGTGTGATTTTAGAATAATAATCAACGTGTATGTGTAAGACATAAATCTTAGCCACAAGTGCATGTTTTAGCTATTCCCGACTTGACATGTGCATACAACCAGGGTTATATACGACAGGAGCAATCAGGCTTTACAATTGAGTCAATAGAGGGAATTTTAAGGCCGTAAATTATGCCGGGACGTCGGGTAGGTAAGCATTGTGGATCAGAGTTGGGATAATTGGGTGTACAGCGTGCTCTGATTCCTTGTCCGTATCAGGACGTGGTGTCCGTCAATATTAACATGCATGTCTCGGCACACGTAAGTTCTTTCCGTACTGAGTTTACGTACTACTTAAGCGTTAAAGGAGCGTAGGCAAGTTCCAGAAGTATTGTAATGTATGTGTAGGTTTTACGTACTTTCCACCCGTATTAAGATGTATGTGTAGGTATATATATACGTTCCACCCGTATCAAGATAAACGTGAAAGTATATATACGTTCAACCCGTATTAGGATGTATGTGTAGATATATATACGTTCCACCCGTATTAAGATGTACATATATATACGTTCCATGCGTATTAAGATGTATGTATAGAGATACGTTTCATCCGTTTTAAGAGGCACGCGTAGGTATATATACGTTCCACCCGTATTAAGATGCACGCGTAGATATATTACGTTCCACCCGTATTAAGGTGCACGTGTAGATAAACATATATTTAGATGTATGTGTAGGTACACATACGTTTCACACGTATTAAGATGAACGTGAAAGTATATATACGTTCCACCCGTATGAACATCAATGTGTAGGTATACGTATTTTCCACCCGTACTAACATGGGAGTGTAGGTATACTTACTTTCCACTCGTATCAAGATTCACGTGTGTGTACTTACTTTCCACCCGTATTAAGATGTACGTCTCTCTTCCATTTACAAGCTCATTTGCATATTCTTCGTTACTTCCTGCGAGATTCTTCACCTGTCCGTCTTGGTCAATGAGATCAATGGTAACTGAAATAGATGCAGGTGCTTGCTGATGACTGGCGGTACAGCTGTTGATTTAGATTCAAGGGACGGTTCCAACACGGACATTTCATGTATTCATTCATACAGGAATAACATGGAACACACCAACTGCATCCCCTGGTCTTCAGGAACCCATAGGCGACTATAACGGGATCGGGTGGTCAGGCTCGCTGACTTGGTTGACCACATGTCATCGTATCCCAGTTGCGAAGATTGATCATCATAATGCTAATCACTGGATTGTCTTGTCAAGACTCGATTATGTACAGGCATATAGCTGGAACATAGCTGTGTGACGTTAACCAACCAACCAACCAACCCATCACCCTTCATCCCACCCGACCTATCCGAGGGATAACGTAACACAAGGTTCATAGACAACGTCAACAAAACATGAACCTTTTAAGTCATTCTTTCAAACAGTCTATTCCCAATTTTATTTTATTGAAAATCAGATTCAGAAAATATAATAGATTCTTCATGAAACAACATGAAGACCACTTACTGTCGTGCGAGCAGTTACACTTCCGCCGGATCCACTCGATGAGTGTGTGGGTGGTGCACCAGGGGTTGAAGAGAGCCTGCTGGTCATCTGAAATGTAGGCGGGTATGTCAGGTCAAGGTGATGGTGAGACTGGTAGAAGTAAGATGGATAGACGCCATGTAGACTTGCTCAAGTCTCTAAAGTAATAAATAATAGTTTAAATGACATTTTGGTTAAAAAAATATATAAATAGCAAGAAGATGTTGTCCCCCTAACAGACTGGCGTCCTTAGACGTCCTTGTACTGTCAGCTTATCAAGATTTGCCTCTTCAAAGAATAGAATTACTATACACCCATGGACTCAGTACCGCCAGGATTCAGTACCGCCTTGGATCAAGGCTTGACGCCATGCAGCGGTTCTGGACAGAGTCATACATGCCGCCTCGTGCAACTTCTACATGTGGGTTGTACTGGTGTGGCTCCCAGGGGTTACGGTTGTAATTCCGTTACAAAATGCCTCCAACTAGGACCGACTCAATACCCATTCGGACCCCACACAGTTCTTCTAGACCAAGGAATATAGAGACAAACATATATATCCTTGGGGATGACAAGGCTTTATGGATGATCAACTTCTTTATTTTGACAATGGCGACGTTTCGGTATAGATTCTTACACCGTTTTCAAGCATACAAAACGGCATTGATCATCCATAAAGTCTTGTCATCCCTATACCCCCAATTTCTAGAATGCCACTCAAACAAATTATATATATCCTTGCCATATATACCATCTGGTGTGTGTTTCTGTGATTTTCGACTTTTTCACATTATCATCAATTCATGAGGAGTTGGTCTCCTTGGATCGGGTGGCCCAGCCGTCTAGGAATTGTGCAGAATTACGTCCCTTGAGCATATCAGAACATGTGCTAGTGGGTTTTCCAATCACTGTTTCGACACTATTATGTCTCTAGGTTTGTCTGTAACTGTGCTCCGAGGTTTCACCAACATTCTAAATATCTGAGACCCACATCACTTCTGGTTCTCGATCACATCGAGCTGGAATACTGTTCAAAACGCCATTAAAACATACCTCACTCATTCATCTGACTGAAATCCGCGTGGAATCAAATGGCGATGGTTATCATAAGAACTACAAGCCGGCCATGAATATAAGTCACCCCAGCTCACCCCGAACCCTGATGCAAGATACGCCCTTACTCCATACAAAACTATCTCCTGGGAACAATGACACTTCCAGTCGCCACTGACAGGAAAACACCGGGTGCTAGGACGCCGCCATAGCTGTTGTCAGAACGAGGCTTTGATCCAGAGATGTCGCGTGGTGGCATGTCAGATTGGCAGATCGGGGTAGGAATGCGGGTGGAATATCAATCTGAACAACTAGGTGGCTAGTTAATGAAGCCACCTCACTGAGTCTGTGACACGCAATGGTGGCTGGAAATAGGGCTACTTCGGGGTACATTTGTTAGATGTATGTCTCACATTGTAACTCACAGTGCGTGACATTGCCAGTAAACGAGCTAGTATCGTGTTGAACAGTATCAACTCAACATCGGGCTGATTGCAGGTAAATTTAGTTACAGAATTCAAAACGATATTCTGTCCAAACACACGAAAGTGCATGCTGGGATGTCCAGATTCTTCAGGCATCTCAGGAGGATAACGCACAAAAATGCATGACGGTGTCCCTATCATTGCAAACATGTGGTTTCTCCTCAGAGAAATACACCTCTGGACATCCAGTTGTGTATGGGTACCCGGAAGGATGAGAGTGTGAATGTCGGCTTAGGTTGTATATTTTTCAAGGAATAAAGAATGAAAAGTGCACATTGACCACTTTCAGTATAGATACTTATACCGTGTTCATGCTTGAAATTGGTATAAGTATCTGTACCGAATAGTCGCTATTGTACAGTAAAGAAGCTGATCATCCACAAAGACTTGTCATTCCTATTCTCCGATATAGCTAACCGAGATCTTTTCGATTTGAGTGAGTATTTTGGATTAACATCGCATTGAACAAACCTATCTACAAACCTTGACTTAGGTTTGAGTAGTTGTACATGCACGTTCAGCATTGTAGATGGCATTGACGACGGGAAACATCAACGCCAGCGCTGCGGACCGTTCGTCTGAGCTCTGGTACCAAACATTTACATGGGGATGACGAGAAAACGCATAGCCATCAGGTCCTGTAGCTCACCTTTACCCAAAGTTACTGAGTAGATTTCATGGCGTCTGTTGCCGCCTCGGCACGGTCAGGGCACTAAATCAAGGCTAGCTGAGACCCATGGTTTGTTTTCAAAGCCTATTGTTTCCTGATCTTAAATATTGATCAATAAATGACTTATGAGATCAACATATTTTTGTTTACCATCATGGAATTAAGGCGTAACCTCTGATCCTTGCACGTAAACACGCACCTGCTGCTGTCGGGATTATCTCCAGATTATACGATAATCCACAATAACAGAAAACACGCGCGTTCCTTGGCCATTATGCATTGTTATGTACCTGGGACAATGTACAGGTGAATGAAGTATTGATGTCGGGTGTGGCGTATAAACGGCTATGTTGATCAGACTCTAGGACAGTCGGTTCAGCGTGCTATCACAGACAAACAATGGTGTATTTGTACAGCTAAGGAGAACTGAGTTTCATATTTACATATCAGACTGTGCAAAATATATCCAATATAAGCTTTTATTGATATATGTCTGCTAGACCTGAAAACATAGCTAAATAAGATAAAGGTGGGTGGGGGTGTAGAAGTACTTTTAGGCTGACATACTGTAGATTAATGCTAAGCGTGGACTGATTTACACTCATACAAACGTGTACATGGTGGGAGCTCTTGGTGCCGACAGCCTGGGGACAACGAGACCAATGTCTAGTGGAAGAGCACACGCACACATGCGCACACGCACCCACGCAGACACTACCATCAAAACCCCGGTTCGATTCCTCACATGTGTGAAACCTGTTTGTCTAACTCATCCACCGTGATATTGCCGGAATGTAATGTTGAAGGTGTGCACTCTAGGAATGGAAAAACTGGCATTAATATATAAATAAGACTAGATACTCTCTTGGATTCTGGTGTGCATGCAAGTCAGGAGTTTCCCAACATAATCCTACACGTTTATTGAGAGTAAAAAAATTGTATTCAAGCAATCAGTGAAATTTTGAATAATTGAAGCCAGAAAGCTAGTTGAAGGTTCCTGTACGTGTGAAGGTTCAATAAGAGCACATTACTTTTACATTGAACTATTCTTTTATCTCTCTGTTCAGAAGAACCCTGTGATCGACAGGCAATCAGATAAGTCGAACCTAGACGGAAATAATGGATGCAGTTATGTGGACGATTTCCTCCCTCTCAGCCACCCCGGAAATGTCTGGGAAGACATTCTGCCAACACGTCTTTGAAACCCGTTTAAAATATTTATAACGGCAGTGAAACTTGAGCCTACTAGCACTGGTGAGACGTTGAAAGAACCTCCCTGGCAACCCCTGTGTCGGCTCAGCTTCTTTGTTCTCAAAGCAGGTGCGTCCTATCTGACGATGAAGGCATTGGCCACGTGGTAACACGCGAGAGCGTCACGAACACTGTCCGGGTTCGATTCCCCAAAAGGGTAATACCTGTATCCAGGGACGGATACAGCTTTTGAGAAGGGGTGTGTGTGGTGCACACTATTGAGAAAAGGAGGGGTGCACACTTCATTTTCACCCGAGTTTCAATGGTCATTTAACAAACTTTCAGCACAAAAAGGGGGGGGGGGGGGGGGATGCGCACCCCTGCACACCCCTTCTGGATCCGCCTATGGTGTCCTATCATTGCGATATGGCTGCACTCTGGATGAAACCACCGACACAAGTGGAAATGACTGCGTTGGTCGGAATACGGAATAAATTACCCGTTTCGTGGGACAAGGTGAACATTTTGCTGAAAATGCAAGTGAATGTGGGATTCGAACTCAGAATCTCGACGATTTGGGCGTCTTTGGTAACAGGTCACATATATAACCTTTCTTTAACACAGATCTCACAAGGCCGTACACATACACAATAGCGATGTTTGCACAATATATTAGGGCAAGGTGTATATAACCATATATAGTATTGTTTAGTACAGGTTACAAACAGTATCCTTATGTTTTAAGTCAATATGAAATTATCGTCTTATTGTGTTTCATAAGCCTTCTGGCTGAAGGTTACTTATAGACTATGATGGGTTTTTTTACCAACAGCTCATGTAATGTTTGAAACATACATAAACTATGTCTGTTTGTATACATTGTCGATGTTTACTCTAAACAAACAAACGACACAAATATTATATTATAAGGTCTTTGTTTGTTTTAGAACGCCGTGACTACCATTACATACTGTAGGTGACCAGGTCCGTGACGACAGAGCTCACACTAAGCCAGTAAGACGCTATGTCTGACAGACCTTGTTTAATCAAACGCCAGTATCCGGTGGTCTCGTCTGTATTGATACACAACGGCCAGGGTTGCATGTGTTTTGTCTAAAATCAATAAAATCCACTCCCACCCGGTGATCCAGCCATGTTCGATCATATCATAAAAACAATCGATTGTTTGGTAACATATTACGGGACCGGGCGCGTTCGATCGGAAAACTCCGTTCACGGTTGGGTAGATGTTTGAACATAGGGATTAACCTGTGCTTCGTCATGCATACACGTGTCGAATGGGTGTAATTAAGAACAGTGTGTCAAAAAGTCGAGTAAATGGTTGATTATGAGCCCATTCATAGTGAAACTGTTTAATGGCCGTTTGTCCAGATGGTTGTCATGACAACAATAAATACCGTGGATGAAAGCCGATGATAAAATTTGCCCTAAATGACAGAATATATTACTTAATGATTACTTCATTAGACATCTTCGTCAGTTCCACGATAAAATTACGACAATCTATATTAATAGAAAAGTAAAAGAATTGTGGATAAACAGTTCCCGTCTCTGAAACCGGGTGAGGGAAAGGTGTAGGAGAAGACCCTCGTCCGAATGTTGGAACACTAAACCTCTGGAACAGATTCCTCCTTACACTTTCAGAAGAAATATCTGGATAAACGTGCGCCATGTGCAGTCCTGTAAACGACGATGCACCTGCACCGACGGCGGGTACGCCGTGGTTGCTGATGATGCTACACCAACTATATCACAGTTTGTGTAAAGGAATTCTGTAAAGCAATTTTTCATTACATTTCCAGTTTCCATGGACACAGCGTTGACGTTTAGTCCTCTAATAGTCACGGACGTGTAACGGCACAACCAACGTGAGACTAAATCATCAGTTTGTGTGGTTTACCCGGCCACGCTGATTAATAATAATTGGTGGGTATTAAATAATTTCTGTAATATGAATGTAATATAATGTAATATAACAGAAAACATTGATTTGTGTGTTTGATATACACTATTTGTCTCTCCCGACAAGACCTAGGTAACAATAACACAGATTCCACAACACCCCATCATTGACATTCACTAACGTACACCTGCTGCAGGCGTGTTTACTCACCTCCGTATTTGACAATGATAAAGGACTGGTCGGCCATGCTTGTACAATAGTCCCACTGTAAACAAGTCAACATTCACTACTTCCACTTGTTCTTCAACTCCAAACCTACAGGTGACTACACCGCACGATGTCGGAGCTATTGTACGTCGTGCCTGCCGCCGTCACAGGTTTTCTCTCAAGCCAGATTTACAGCGTCCCACCAATAACACTGCTCCGGACTTTTGATTTTGATCAATAATCTATAAGCAGCATTCTCTCCGCTAATACCCCGGGTAGGTCCACACTGGCTACTGACATTGCTGGCTCAGGTGGGCTAATGCCGTGCCATGTCATGTGTAGAGCGTGTTTGAATAGGAGCCATAACACACAGGTATTAGATCTACACAAGTCAATTGGGGCTCTCCACCGGGGGCATGTCCAGGCAGGCCCGGCCTTGTCACATGAGCCTCTTATGACGAAGCTTAAAAGTTAAATCTGAAGACCTCATAACAGATTAATTATGACCTAATACCTGAAATGTAATTAGAAAAGTTTATTTTAATGTTTTATTCTTTGATATTTTATTTTTGTGTTATATTGCAACAAATGATATTTTGAAAACGTATAAGTAATTTTCAGAAATAATGCATTCTGGGGCAATTGGTAAAGCTCATTTTTTTCCCATTTTATATTTTATTCTACGCAGAACTCTACCTTAAAATCTGAACCTAGTGGACTTACTGAGTGAGTGACTTTGGTTGTATGCACATCTTTTAATATTCAAGCCGTAATACGGGGGATCGAACCTGGGTCTTCAGTGTAACGAAACCACTCCTCACCCACTAGGCTACCTTCTTTTGATGGTGACCTCAACAATACAATCCATGTCCACAGATGTATAAACATGTCGATACGCAACCTACGCAATGGTAAAACCTAAACTGTAGTATGCACAAGTTTCTTTCATTATACGGGTTAGTGTAAGCATTCGCTGAAGTCGGAGTAGTGAGTGATTCCAAATACAGCACCTTGACAAGTCCATCACGGCGCTTCTGGATGTATAACGTCGTTAGTCTGTCAGTGGTCTACGGTCATGCAGACTTGCATACCTTAACCTCAGCAGGATCCGCTGTTATGCTAGTTTTTCAGCATAATGACCACGCTCATCGGTTTCACCAGAGCGGTAAACGTGTGAGACCTGTCACATTTCATGTCACTCACTCACTCTACACGCTTCCAGAAAAAACAGGTACTCGTGAAGATCTGAGTTAGAATTGATTTTCAGCAACCCATGCTTGTCGTAAGAGGGTACTAGGGGGATCGGGTGGTCACGCTCGCTGACTTGGTTGACACGTCATCGTATCCCAATTTCGTACATCGATGCTCATGATCACTGGATTGTCTGGTCCAGACTCCAGTATTTACAGACCGCCACCATATAGCTGGAACATTGCTGAGTGCGGCGTAAAACTAAACTCACTCACACTTGTAAGAAGCGACTAACGGGATCGGGTGGTCAGCCTCGCTGACATAGTTGAGACATGTCATCGTATCCCAATTGCGTGGACAGATGCTCATGCTGTTGATCACTGGATTGTCTGGTCCAGACTCGATTACTTACAGACCGCAGCCATAAAGCTGGAATATTGCTGAGAGGGGCGTTAAACAACCAACCAACCAAGGAAATCAGGCATGTCCCCATTGCCGTGGGCACCCTCAGTAATCACCCCTCACTCGTGTGTTTTCTAATTGTTGTTTGGCTCTGTTTACAGACTCCTCGCTACGTTATTACAACCATTCTTATTAAAGCTGTATAGGAAAGCGATACGTTAATGGGGTGTATGGAGCCTATAAAGTATAGTCTTTCTACATGAGACGCCATGTACATACACAATGACCTGGCTGTCTAATGTGAGTGTGTAGACCGTGGTATGCGGACTGTTGTGCCCCATCTATCACATCAGCCTGCCATTGTAGTGGATTTACGGGAGAATTACCATGTCGAAGACACCTTTGTATCTATAGTGGACTATATCTTCCTCGTTGGGTGATCTCAATTCGGCAAATACAGGTCGATAACAAAGACAGTGCACACCAGATTACATTTCGTTATTTGTTACATTTCTAGGTCTACAGAAATGAGGTTAGTAATGTTTTTCAACTAAATGTTCAATTTGCAAATAAAAGTGAGACACGTAACATTAGAATTCAGATTATTGTTTTGAAGTTTTTGTTAAAATCTAAAGTTGTTATAAGTTTTGAAATTTGAGAATTTGTTGAATGCACCACCTAAATGTCGGCTAAGTTACGACGGTCCCTTGCTGGTTTGTTGTTTAACGCCGCACTCTGCAGTATGACAGTTCGAGTCCGACCCAGGTAATCCTTGGATGGATATGAGAGCAACGAGCCACAGCTAAAAATCTGGTCGCCGGCAACGTCCAGCTTAGATTATTGGAGACTCAACCTAGCCTTGAACACCCACGGGTTGACGTCGGGACCACAGATACTTGAGGTGGTCTTCTTGAGAGGAAGAATGGGTAGTTTTAGTATAATCCCTTTGATGTGGTGGTAATGTGATTTTAAGGGATTAAAACACTGGGTGGTGTACAAATCTTGAATGTGAAGCGAAATGAAAATTGATTTTTCTGTGAGAATTGATTTTTCTACTTGAGACTGGTCCGGTTGAACTAGAGATTGACAGCATGATCAACGACCAAACCATCGGGCGCGATGACAGACAGACTGCCACGAAGTCTTCCCACCCGACCCGTTTTGGGCGGCTCGAATCAGCAGCTCTTAGAGTTCTGTTGTTTGAATTGAATTTATTTTATATATTGTGGGTGTGGGTGTGGGTGGCAAATCAGAAAGGGTCTGGAAGCCTATGAATATATAGGAATAAGTGAGGTGAGGTGAAATTGGGTTTTACGTCGTGCTTGAGAATATTTCGCTCATATGACGATGTGCATGCGTGTGTATGTGTATGTGGGGCTGCTTGTACTAGCCCAGACTTAAGCTGGTTTTATAGTGCCAGCCCACTGAGATACCATGCCGCAGTGAAGCATGAATACCCTACTCAGACACAGTATACTGACTCCGAGCCAACCAATCCTTGTTGTACCCATTAATGCCGAGCGCCAGGCAGGGACCAACAAGTACCATATTTTAACGTCTTTTGGTATGACGCGGTCGGGGATCGAACCCGCGACCTTCCGCTCTCTGGACGTTGTTGTCCTTGTATGGTGACTAGCCCCCCCCCCATGCTCTTGCAGCCATCGTTCCTACTGTGCAGTACAAACACTCCGTCACACTTGTATACGTGCCTCTTAAACCTTTTTCTGTTCATCACTTGCGTGATAACGGTGTTCGAACCAACACACGGTCGTTCTCCATATAGTGTTATTCCTTTTTGCTCCAACTTCTAAATACCTCGGTAAGAAGTCAGTTGTATGGTGCTCTCAAACATGGACACAATCAGGTTTAGTATGGGATTCGAACCAAGGTATGGGACTTGGGACGGCTCTCTTATTGACACAATATCTGTTGTTATACTGTATTGTTTCAAACCATCGTGGAGACCCTGCACGCTCACACTGGGATTTAAACTCACCACCTTCAAAGCCTATTGAAGTTCAGGAAAGCAACTCTACCCACTGAACTACCAGCTAAAAAGCTGGACTGGAAGTTGGAGAGTTGTACTAACTGATGACAGCTTGAGTGGGTATGCTTTAACAGCACTCTGAAGAGTATCCCAGATATTTCATAGGTGAACTTGCAGTTGGAGTGAGTGAGTGAGTTTAGTTTTACCCTGCACTCAGCAATATTCCAGCTATATAGCGGCGGTCTGTAAATAATAGAGTCTGGACCAGACAATGCAGTGATCAACAGCATGAGCATCAATCTGTGTAATCTGTCAACTAAGTCTGACCACCCGATCCGTTAGTCGCCTCTTACGACAAGCATTGGTTACTGAAGATCAATATTCTAACCCGGACCTTCACGGGTACTTGCAGCTGGAGGAAAGAGAGTGAGTGAGTATGGTTTTAAAGGCTTTTAGCAATATTCGAGCAAAATCACGATGGGACACCAGAAATCTGCTCATACATTGTACCCACGTGGCCAATCCAACCGGGTCTTCAGTCGGCAGAATGTCAACTGCCCTAGCGCCCTCTTTCGAAGTAGCAGAAATAAAGCAGAAGCTTTTAGCAATTTGCAATATCCATCATGGGCTGCACATTGTGCCCATGTGGGGAAACGCGGTCCTCGACAAGCAGAAGTTTTGACCGAAGTAGTACAGAAATTAGATGTTCCCACTTGGGTGAAACCCTTGAGCACAAGTACGGTGCAGAGAAACCCAGAAACATTATCAGGGTGGACCTGGGATCTGAACCCAGACACAACTTCAGAGAGAACCAAGGGAAATCCTTACAAGATTGGGCACAAACAAGACAAGATTGGCCTTGGTGTTTGAGGTTTTAATTCACCATATTACTAGTCAGCAGGTAGGCGACAATATCATGACATACATTAAATATCTGATGTTCCGAAGCATTGGTGACACTATGGAATACACAGTGCAGAGAGAAAGCGATCCATTTAAAATAAAAAGAAACAAAAAATCACTTTCTCTCACAAATTCCTAAAGGTATATTAAATATCACTCACTAAAACATACATGGCAAAACTTGGTAACGTTGACAGATAAAACTGTACCAGTGTTTATGTGTACGGTCTGAATGCAGATCTTTGAATAATGTGCAAGTTGTAGATTCAGAAGGAACAATTATGTACGCCATCATTGTAGACCAAGAACAATTATTCAAATTACCCAAATATTAATAACAAATTCCTTTTACATATAATCTATATTTTAATCATGTACCCATCCCCATACCTCCACACTTCGACAGATTACATAAAATTTAGTAAATTAACATGGAGTTAACGTCTTTACATACTAGTACATCTCACTGGAGTCTGGCAGTGATTGAAGGGAGACAACTCAATTCTAAAATGATGTAAAGAGATGGTCTGGAGTAGATTCACAAACAGTAATTATAAAAGTATCACACAAATCACATATGAAAATATAACATAATTGTATGACATCAGCTAGCGGTCTGCATAGCAAAAACACAGCACAGATCAGGTCCTTGTTCCATGGAGTGACCCTGTGATTCATTCTTTCCTCGTCCGTGTCATCAACCACATGGCTCGCTCCATGGAATGCGGGCCCTGTTGTCGGTCGCCTGCTACTGCAATTTGGTCATGCAAGAAAGTGACTTAGATATTAGCTGAGCATCAACACGTCAACATGAAGCATCTGTCCAATGCTTTGGTTAATTAAATGCACATAGCAAGTTTCTTCAACACTCCAGCTAGATCTCTACAAAACCAAACATTACGTCTGAATGGAAATGAATGGTGCTGTTGTCATGACTGATGAAACGCAAACATTCTTGAATTAAACCTGCAAAATGGATGTGAATGAAAGGCTTGAGAAATCAACATCTTCACGCTACAAATTAATCTGTTCAAGTAACAGCCAAACATTTTAACCTAACATACACTTGGATTTTGCAAATTCAAGTCTGATACAATTTCCCCCAACAAAACTTATTTCTCTTCTTCCAGGCAAAATTTCTTGCATTGTGAGACTTCATTCTGTCTCAGTGTGTTGAGGCGAGTGATCCCTGCAGACAGATTAAACCCCTAGATCTAGCCCACTTCTGCCCGGGAAGACAGTAAGATGGCTGTGCAGGGAAGCAGAGACTCACAGATGATTGGTTGGTTCATTTCCAGCGCAAGAAAGTACGAAAGGTGAGGAAATCGGACATGTTTGCTTCATCAAGTTTAACTATTTGCGAAATATCAGGAGGGAATGTGTTGACGGAAATGATTTTGATTTAAACTCAACTGACTTGAGATTAAACACACAATAAATAAAGCACTGTGAAACATAAAATATAACTTGATCGGTTTCTGTTGATAACACATCTCCCAACTTTTCACCTGCATTTTGTAAGTAGGATTTTGCAAAACTTTTGAATGTTATTTGATTGTAAGACAAGCGCCATCCTAGTCATGGTTAGTATATATGTCTATGTTATTATGTCGCACACTAACTCTTCTAGAAGCCATCTCACACGCTGTCTATAATACCACCGACATAACACACGCCCAGGCTTCAGACAATGTTTCCATGTCTTTGTTAGAATCGAACATATTTTCAAAGAATTCCAAAATTACCAGTCAGAAAGATAAACCAGACAAAGCAACTGTCCACTCTGATTATGTTAATTTTTAAACTGAAATTGGAACAAACATAACATTTAGTTAATGTGTACGACTTGAACTCCAGTATAGAGACGAGTGGTGAACAGACAGACATGTATATATCCTGGTATAGACATCTGTACAAATGTGGTGCTATCACAAGGTTACTACGGGACCACTAGGTCGTAAATAAATTACAATTATAGCAAAGCCGAGCACAAACTCAACAACAGGATGTATGTACAGTAACAAATATGTCAGTCTACTGGGATCCCGTCAGTACTGCTGCAGGCAACCTCAGACACCTCACTCCACGCAGTCCACAAGACGACCCAACACGAGGAGTATGGAACCAGTTCCTCCAAGTCCTAACTCCCTTCGGGAGCAGACCACCAGTTAATCACCACTTAAAGCGAAACAAAAACCATTTCGATGAAGGGTAGAGTTATCTCCCTTGTCACAACTGTCCAGAAAGTGACAGCGTTGTAATCGATAACAAATAATTTTAGCCAACCTTTCTGTTTGTTATTGGCCGTGTCTGTCTCGAGGTTGTGCGGCCGAGGGGGATCCCAGGAGGACTGTGTATATGAGAATGTCTTGGTAACACACAGGGTGAACAAACATAGCACTGGTGGTGCAAGCATGAAGCTCACAAAATAAACCTGAGGAAAGTGGGTCACGGAACAAAGTGGTTACTTTGGTTTCAACCGCTACACCTTGAATCAGATACTGACATCATGGTCAGGGTACGTTATTGTCAACTAACCTGGGCGACAGCTCACTAATACTCTAGGTCTTACTTCTACATCTGTACAAAACCAGTTGGAAATTTACAATCTTGTGGGAAACTAGATGCTCGTGCAAGAGAGAGCGAAAGGGCAGAACTGGCTGACATCTGTTGGGCATCCTCAGAACACCCGTAGCTTTGCATCTGTGGTTCTTAGCTAGCAGCAAACTGGCGAAGAATCTCTCAGAGATATTTAGTATGTACAGACGAATAGCACTTAATGATCTGAGGGAGTTAGTCACATGTGAGTTGCAACGGAGACAACTTTTATCCCTGGTGGGCTGAAGGCTATCATAAAAACAAAAAACTGTGGTGCAAATTTCCTAACTTGTCCAAGCTCTTAATATCACCAATGACAAACACAAAGGAAGCAGCATTCTCTGCCGTCACAAGTTTCTCGACAGGCGAAATAACAAATGAATGAAGTGGTTTAAGTTTTGAAGGATTCAAACTTGATCACGACCGCGCAGTACTGCTTCAAAAAATCCAAACATGCTGAATAAGTAAAGATACTTTAGATGAAAATATAGTCATGTACTCACCTAGATTGTAGTCTTCAAACTTGACCTGACACCATCAAAAAATTGGTAGCCCTACCAAACACTTAGGACACACACGGCCATTACAATGCTCATGCATATGCATCATGCACTCAACATGAAAAGAAGGTAGAAATCCATGACAGAGGATAAATATGAGCACAAGTATTAATTCTAAAAATTTTCCAACACAACTGAAGTAATATTCCGTGTGACCTAAGATGATAGGATATGATGAGTTTGAATACATTGTCTAGAACTGGTCAAAAATTACTTGAACAACATTACACGTACTTCACGTATGTGACAATATCAACTATCGAAGCAGCCTGTTTAGACAAGTGAGGGTAACTATGCAGAAGACCACAAGAGGTTGTTTAAATACACATGTATGCAGCCAAACAGTGAGGGGACAGTGCACTGTAGAATCGTCCCGTCAAGCCGGCACAGACAAGCACAATATCACACAGGTTCAGGGTTGTTGGTCGTATGAGAAAGTGGCTTCAAAACAGGCCTCCTTCGTCTGTCTCCTCTAGCTATGGCAACAGCCACTGCAGATTATGCTTGCTGATCTCGTATGGCTTGGCTAGCTACGCAACAGGTCATTTTTCCATCATTTTCCCAGATATCTCACAGTGCTGAACAGGTTCTCTTTCCCTGTTGAGTATGTTGTTGTCATTGACAAGGTTGCAAATTTCTGTAATCATTGAAATAAATGCATTTGACAAGTCCTAGGCCATCAGAATGAGCACAGTTTTGAAAGCACTCTCTCATAGACAGCTTTTCAACCCTGTGTTGGAGAATAATAAATATGTAATGCCTAAGATCTCTTGCGGAGCCACGCAACCACAAAACAAGATACTCGTTTGTCTGTATAACTCTTCTGTCCGATCTGCGGACTCTAGTAACCCACAGCAATGACCAATCAGATAGTTCCTTCCTCTGTACCTATGTTTTGATTGGTTATTAACGGCACTCCCATACTTTGACATTTTGGTCCACACTTCCGGTCACTACATACGGAGCAGTTCTGTGCATATCTGGAAACACAAGATGGATTTCTATAATAGTTACATCATCAAAGTAGCCTAAATCTGTGACATTCTCTTGTCTCTTCTGTTTACCTGCGAAATATTGGTGGAATGATGCAGCTTATTCTTTCCAGTACGAATCCTATGCAATTAGAGTGAGTGAGTGAGTATGGTTTTACTCCGCTTTTAGCAATATTCCAGCAATATCACGGCGGGGGATACCAGAAATGGGCTTCACACATAGTACCCATGTGGGGAATCAACCCAGGTCTTCGGCTGACAAGCCGATGCTTTAAACCCCAATGTGAAGTGATGCGATGTAGTGATGTGATGAAGTGTTATTTGTCATCTACTTTGAGAGGGGGTGAAGACTACCTAGTGATGTGATGAAGTGTTATTTGTCATCTACTTTGAGAGGGGGTGAAGACTACCTAGTGATGTGATGAAGTGTTATTTGTCATCTACTTTGAGAGGGGGTGAAGACTACCTAGTGACGTGATGAAGTGTTATTTGTCATCTACTTTGAGAGGGGGTGAAGACTACCTAGTGATGTGATGAAGTGTTATTTGTCATCTACTTTGAGAGGGGTGAAGACTATCTAGTGATGTGATGAAGTGTTTGTTTTGTCATCTACTTTGAGAGATGTGGATGAAGTGTTATTTGACTGAAGACTACCTAGTAATGTGATGAAGTGTTATTTGTCATCTACTTTGAGAGGAGGTGAAGACTACCTAGTGATGTGATGAAGTGTTATTTGTCATCTACTTTGAGAGGAGGTGAAGACTACCTAGTGATGTGATGAAGTGTTATTTGACCTCTACTTTGAGAGGAGGTGAAGACTACCTAGTGATGTGATGAAGTGTTATTTGTCACCTACTTTGAGAGGGAATGAAGACTACCTAGATTTGTGGATGAAGTGTTATTTGTCACCAACAGAGGTGAAGACTACCTGAGAGGAGAGGGGTGAAGACTACCTAGTGATGTGATGAAGTGTTATTTGTACTTTGAGAGGAGGTGAAGACTACCTAGTGATGTGATGAAGTGTTATTTTTGACTAAGAGTGTTTTGTCTTTGAGAGGAGGTGAAGATACCTAGTGATGTGATGAAGTGTTATTTGTCATCTACTTTGAGAGGGGGTGAAGACTACCTAGTGATGTGATGAAGTGTTATTTGTCATCTACTTTGAGAGGAGGTGAAGACTACCTAGTGATGTGATGAAGTGTTATTTGTCATCTACTTTGACAGATGATGAAGACTGTGTGATATTTATCCCTCGCCTAGTGACATGACGGAATTACATTTGCCACTCACCTAGTGACGTGACAAAGTGTGTGTGAGCCTCCAGAGTCTTGTGGTTCCGCTTGTTCTTGATGTGCCCCACACTCGCAGAGCTTTGTTCTTTGTCATCCGCTTGTCGGCCAAGATAAATTTGCCGCCAGGGTGGAACACCAGTCCACGCACCCAGTTGTCGTGGCCAACCTAGCAGGGGATAAATACATGTAACTGTACACACTGAACACTGCAGTGATACTTGGGAGTTTCACAGCCATTGAGAGCACACTATAATCAAACCGGGACCACAATCCTGGACTCACGCTATCAGTCAGTCCTGGGTACAGTGGTTGATAGTATGAACAAGTAGTCCCAACTGGGGCATCATGACACATAATCAGACTTTGTTTGTTTTGTTTGTTTGTTTGCTTGTTGTTTAATGCATCACTAAGCAATATTCCAGCTAAATGGCAGCGATCTGTAAATAATGGAGTCTGGACTAGACAATCCAGTGATCAACAGCATGAGCAATGATCTATGCAACTGGGATATGATGACATGTGTCAACCAATTCAGCAAGCCTGACCACCCGATCCTGATAGTCCCCTTTACGACAAGCATAGGTTGCTGAAGACCCATTCTAACCTGGATCTTCAAGGGTCCACACAATCAGAAAGTTTAAGGAGTTTTCAAGGCAATCATTGCAACAAAATCAAGTCAAATTCAAGACCTTTCCAAGCCTGTGTAAACAGCACAGTTGTCCAGTTTTCAATGGCTAGTGCAACAGGCGTTAGTTGCTAGAGTATTTCTGCCTCGGAATAGCAAGAGGGGAATGTATGATGCCATCGCTGACTGAAACCAACCAGAGTGAAGAGGCAGAGTCCAACGCTGACGTCCCACATCTTGATGGTCTTGTCCCGGGACCCGGAGATCAGGAAGGGGCCACTGCGGGGTTTCTTGGCCTAAATACCAAACAAAAGGTCATCACTCACACAGTCTACGGACTTATTTCTTCTAGTTGCAACCATGTCGGTTGATAAACACTTCTTCACAGATCATTAAACATGTTCTCTACCTACTTTGAGGTAAGTCTCTAAGGAATGGCGTGATACATACATCAATGCCGGCTCCCTCGTTGATGGCAGGGTGGGCTGACTCCGGAGCCCAGGTGATGCACTCCACCACATGCTCGTGTTCCCGAAGTTCGGCCTTGCACTCCTTTGTGGCTGTTACCCACACACGGACAGTCTGCAGATACACAGGATCATATCATGTACAGGGTACCAGGTAGGTAAAGTCATGTATTGGGTACTAAATAGGTTGGGTCATGTTCAGGGTACCAGGTAGGTTGGGTCATGTTCAGGGTACCAGGTAGATTGGGTCATGTACAGGGTACCAGGTAGGTAAGGTCGTACTGGGTACCAGATAGGTTAGGTCATAAACAGGGTACCAGGTAGGAAAGGTCATGTACAGGGTACCAGGTAGGTTGGGTCATGTACAGGGTACCAGGTAGGGTCTATGATCACAATCAGGGCACATCAGAGACTCAACTACAACCAATGGGTTGCTCAGACCTTTGGATTCCTAAAATCATTAGTTGTGAACAGAATGTTGCTTTACAAGCTGACAAAATATTCCAGCTACATCACAGCTGCCTGAGCAGACAAACCAGTGATCCAATACATACACCTAGTTGCGGGTACAGCAACGTGCAGTGAACTTGGACAAAGTACTGTGACTATGTGTCCCAGTCCACCCAGCTGTGAATGGGTACCTCATTAGGATGAGAAGGCCACAATAACTCGGTGCGCCTAGTGGCTGCAAGAGTTGTATGCTCCCCAGGGAGTTGAGATTGATAACACGATGTGCCGTTGATACTGACATCCAATGATGGAGGGGAAAAATACCAGCGCCTTGAGCAAGCACTAGTAGCCTGGATATGTGCGCTATATAAATATCCTATAATAATAATAATAATAAATAATAATAATGAGGAACAATCCATGCACCACAACATGAGAGTCAACACACATTGGTATCTTGAATACCCCTCAGTCTGTGCTTTAAGTGCGGGGCAGTGGGCTGATCACATCATATCTCCACAGGTGTTATTACTGGCAGTATCTAAACCCCAACTCCATGAGTTACCTGATCATTTGAGCAGCTGGCCAGGAGAGATCCGTCATTGTTCACTCTCACCATCCTCACCCACTCCCGGTGGCCGGTGAACGTCTTCACGCAGTACCTACAACAACCAATACAGATCTTCTCAGGATGTGGAAATCAACAAACCCTAATAAAATTATGGACTAAAGTACTGTCGGAAATGCTAGAAAAATGCTTTTTGACTTATATGTAAAATTCAGAGGTATTACAGTTACTTAAATAACAAATATCACTTCAAGAAACATCTACCTAATGTAGACCGAGGGAATAAATTTTGAGACATGCTCTAAAATGTATTTTTACTGATGAAAATACCAAAAACTTAGAAAAATAAGGGGTAGTGGGACGTTATTTGATACAAACATTAATTGCCTGTGTTACGTCATCAGCATCCACGATATCGACAGGTGAAATTGACACCTGAGCACACGCCGTCTTTGAGGGTCATCTCAATAAATGTTTTTCTGCAAAATGTTGAATATGTGTAACGATAGTATAATGAGTTATGTAAGGGATCATTTGTGTATGTGTGTTTTATGAAATAAACATACCTAATTACTGTACATTGGAAAGAATCCTATCACTTGTGTTATCTTATCGATTGATTGTAGAAATGTGCAACGTTTTAATAAATGTTTTGCATGTCAACAGTATATTTCATTGAAAAAATATGGATGTAATTTGGTCAGTTTAATCTAGTTGTGAACATTGGCCAAAGAATTAACGAAGTCACTGGTGTAGCTTCTTTAGAATATATATATTTTTTCTTTTCTCATAAATTTTGTAGACCGCCCGTCTAAGCACTCTCTTGTCAAAGTTGTCAAGGATGGTTTTTCGTCCCGGTTTTGCTTTTGAGACGGTCCCTGTCTTGTCTGATTTGTTTACAATATTGTAAACGTGTTGGTGAGACATGCCAACAGCTCTACAAGTTCTGTAATAAACCATTTCTAAACTAATGAAAGGTTTACCTCTGTCTTTTTTAAGCAGAAAAAAACTATAAACCTTTGCAACAATCGACTGCAAATCGTTGGCCATAGTGGACGCTGTGATAAAGATGTGCATGCATGACGGGAAACTTATTTATCAAGACTTAACATTTATATTAATATTTCTTCAATAACGAAACGATAATTTAAGTAAAGTAACACAAACATTAAACATTTATTTGTTTGGGAAAAACGTTAATTCATAATTTTACACTACCTGCATTATTAGCATAAATGTAAAGACTATTTCAGATTTCTGTTGAACTCTTAAGTTGCTGTTTTGGTACCAAATTCTCTCCTGTAAACTGCCCTTTAAATGCATGGGAATATTAAATCGATTGAAATAAAAATTAGGTAGACAATAGGCGGTTGACATATTGACAACATAGTACATTTATCACCTTTAGAAAGATATTAAGGCTAAAAAGCATTTTTCTAGCATTTCCGACAGTACTTTAATAAGAATATTAAACAACTTAGACTCACAAACCGTGTGAGCGTGATAACATGTACAATTTTCTGGATGGTTGTACGTGGCGGCATCTTTATCAAATGTAATCCATCAATACAAAATAAAAAGAAATAAAAGAAAAAATGTTGATAATTAAAAAAAATTAAGGAAAAGAAGTAATCTATTAAACATGAGACATGAAACAGAATGTGAGTGAGTTTAGTTAAATGCCGCTTTTAGCTATATTCCAGCAATATCACGACAGGGGGACAGAAGAAAGGGGCTTCACACATTGCACCCATGTGGGTAATCCAACCTGGGTCTTCAGCGTGATAAGCGAACTCTTTAACCACTAGGCTACCCATCACCCCTCACATGAGTTGAGTTGAGTTTTACGCCGCACTCAGCAATAATAAATAGGAAAAAAACTTCTTGAATCTTTGAAGGTGACCTTTACTTAAGTTACTGGTGCCTTAATCAAGCGATGGAGTCAATTTGCAAGTCTTCTCTGACTTCCTTGATATGAACCTTTAAAGCTCCAGGTTCAAATTGTTAATGTAGTCGATGTTCACGTGATGACGACAGCCATGACTTACCCGGTGGCCACCTCCCACATCTTGATGGTTTTGTCTCGGGAAGCCGAGACAACGAAATCCCCACTTGGCATGAAACACACACTCGAAACGTTGTGGTCGTGGCCTGTTTGTAAAAGTGTAGAAAACATCAGCTGGATGTACATCTTATTAAACATATACAATTGACATCCCTGTCACTGGAATAGAATTATGAAAGCAGAGGTAAAATATTTTTGTAAGGTCAGACTTTTTCAGGGCCAGGAAGCTAACAATATTTCTTCAGGTCAATAAAAGAAGACCTACTCAGGTCATGAATCTTCATATGGTATAGACACCAATAAGAGAAAACATTAACATGCTCTGGGCAACATTAATTCCTAACCCAGTATACTGTGACGGACTGATGATTTTGGTCGCTTCGTGAGGTAAAAGTTGGTGTAATGGTACTGGTCTATCAAGGACACATATCAAACAGCTATTAACTGGAACTACCCCACTGGCAACATAAACATTTATAGAAATAGAATAATAAAATGTTTGTAGTTTCCACAGTTCCTAGAAACTAAGGATGGTCTGCAGGTTATAACAAAGGCCCCATGATGTTCATACTTATACAACAATATGCTACATCAGTGTGTTGAGCCGCTGTCTTGTATAATGACATGCTACATCATGAGTCCGTGACTTGACGTTCTCCTGCTGGACAGTGCATGCCATTGTCTGGTGGAACTGAGGAGTAGACGTCAAGTCATGGACACCAGTGCTGGCATGAGGAAGACGGTGGTACATACCATACATGGTTTTGATGCATTCGTAGCCCTTGAAGTCCCACAGCTTGATCGTCATGTCAGCTGAACAAGAGGCTGCAACCAAAGCGACACGTTACATAGATATGGCTTACAGACATACAGAATTCTACCTAACCTAAAAACTTTCATTTATCTCTGACCCTTGTGTGGATTCTGAGCTGAGACGGATTACAACTGATGCCAACAAACTGCAATGGGTCTCTGATTTAGTTGATTACATATCACCAGGCCAACATTGCATGGAATGGTACTCAGAATATTAATCACCCAGGCTGGATAACGTACAAGCCACTAGCATATTGCTGAGTGTAGCTTTACCCAGCTGTTTGACTGACTGACTGAGTTTGGTTTTACGCCGCTTTTAGTAATATTCCAGCAACATCACGGCGGGGGACACCAGAAATGGGCTTCACACATTGTGCTGTTTGAAGCAATATAGAGATTTCATAGAAAATGTCTTTATGAAGGATAACCCAGAACACGTCTTCCAGTGTGTCCACACATCAGCAGACTTCACCACATCTCAGTAGGCCCTCATTTCAACACGTTAAGAGAAAGTTGGTGTCCAATACTCCTCTATCTAGAAACCCCAAACTGTCTCTAACCATCGTTTCAAGACACTGGGAGTTACAAGGTCTTGGAACAAAATTAAATGTCAGCTTTTTGGCCCCATGTCTAAAGTAAACACCACAGTAGTGTCTGTGTCTCACCAAGGAAGTTTCCTGTGGAGTCAAAGGAGATATCCTGTACGGAGTCTGTGTGTCCCTTCAGGCTCCGCTCGTAGTCCCCGGTTTCGTAGTCCCACAGCTGGAACAATACATATTGTCATCATCTTTCGTTCATAAAGTACACACTACAAGACTGATGACAAACAAGTAATCTTTGACATCCAAACCATTTTCATCTGGGAAGAATTTACCATTTTGAACACAGGAATCATGAGGACTATGCCCACATAGAATCATCTGATTACAACACTTATAAAGATGACAACAAATCTCATCTCCCCTGCCCACAAACAAAACACTAATTGGTTCTATAATCATAATTCATTATGCTTTGGCCGAAATACCCACAAGTAGAAATCCATGGAACAATGAAAGCTCGATGTATACCACTCACTTTCATTAATAACTGGAACTGCTTGACTTGTTACCTCAATTCCATGAAATCAAAATCAGGTAATTCCAATCAGGACATATAAATGAGATCGGTCTGGTGACTGACGACAAAGGTGTTGTGACACAAGTACATGTCTTTGAGTGTATAGGAGCAGTGATGTGCGTGCATTCACCTCAACACACAATGTCACGGCATGTCCTGATACAAGTGTGTCGCTATATTATTGTGAGAAGGCAATCTCACATTTCTCTCATTAATTACATGGTTTACAGCAGTTTGAATCCAAAACCTTCAGGTCTACGAGCCCCAGCTTGATTCTTGGAATTATTTCTTGTACATTTTAGTGTTATCCTAAGGTGAGCTGATCTGACCTAGACTGAACAGAAATTTACTTGACTTGGGGTTGGGACTTAGGTCACACACTTTAACTTTCTAGGACTTGTAAGAGTTGTCTACCTTGAGCGTGGCGTCCTCACTAGCCGACACCATAACAGCGAAGACAGGATGTATGATGACCTTGGTGACTGGACTCCTGTGTCCGGTCATGGTGTACTTCTCCGGGGGGCGGGGAATCCATTCCAGCGGGCTGCGCTTGTCCCGCGTAGGGGCACCTGCATTGTACTCTCTCTCTGTCTCAGAGAGCTTCGCTTCAAGGTCCATGACCTGCAGTACAGAGATTACAGGTGAGTGAGTGAGTGAGTGAATGATCTGACAGTCCAGTGACTGAAACCATGCAGTGATATATGTTCCTGGAGCCCTGATGGCACACAACCAGCCATGTCCGAGACAATTCATTCTTGCCAACTTTCATGACAGGCATTGGTTACTGAGAACCAATTTTAGCCTGGAATTGTCAAGGTGATAACACATTTCAGTTTCGGAATCTCCTGTAATCTAAAGTTCAGATTAAACCTGAACATCCGCAAACATACTACTACTTTCACACATAAATAAAAAAATATGCTACAAAACCCCAGATCATATTAAACAGATTCCACTGAGTAGTATACACAATGGGGCTACTGGGACCATCCCGCGAGTCTCCCATTGTGTAAAAATTGCAGCCCTTTGGGAAGTCCTTTTCATCCCGTAGCCCCATTGTGTATACTACTACCGGGGTGCATGCAAAATTTGATGAAAATCGGTCGAATAGTTTCTGAAATATTGACTTTTAAGTGAGCATGGGGTAGACGATCATATTTCCACCACGCTCACTGACTCTAAAATCTCCAAAGAAGAGTTTCATTTGGTGCTATCAGAAATCGCAAAATATCACAGAATGAAACTCGTAAAAATGCCGTCATTTGCGAAGACGAGAATTTTTTTTCCATAGAACAAGGGAAGCAACAGGCCCGACAAGCCTTCATTACGGAAACCAAACAAATCATAGGAGATTCACAATAAACTGTTTCGCGGACATCAACATAACGTAGCCAGCCGGCCCGCCAACTCAGCGAGCTGTAGGTGAATAGCCGAGCCGAGACACACACACGGCGACAACTCACACTCGCGACGAGATTAACACACACCCTCTTCCACAGCCAGCCAATACTGAGATGACAGCGAGGATTAGGGATTAGGGACATCCCAAGGGCTCAATTTTTAAATTGAGCCCTTGGGGGGTACCTGGTCCCGTAGCCCCATTGTGTATACTACTCACTGATCAATAGAAAGTCTTGCATGGGTGGTTACTCTTTTATCAGTTATCAGTTACTCTACCTTTTTCTGCAGTCTGATGACTGAGGTCCACTTCTTCTCAAGGAGACCTGCATACTTCTTTTCTATCTCAGGGGACTGTGGAGGAAACAAAGCAGGGTTAACATCATCCGGGAAGGAATTGCTGTCAACAAGGTGTCTCTTCAATCTCATCAGATTAAAGAGGGTGAATATCCCACAGGGACACAAGTCATCAATGTTATCCACATGGTGAACCCCACAAACACAGATTTGAACTTATTATGTTAATGACAGCCAGTTACAGAATCAGGAACAGTTGTCCATGTGCTTGGGTAAAGATGACATACAAACAGCCAACTACATGGGGTACTGAGGTATTGACCCACAGTGGGATAAGCCTGTGGTACTGGTCTGACCCCATGGTGGGATAAGCCTGTGGTACTGGTCTGACCCCATGGTGGGATAAGCCTGTGGTACTGATCTGACCCAACAGTGGGATAAGCCTGTGGTACTAATCTCAACCCACAGTGGGATAAGCCTGTGGTACTGGTCTGACTCCATGGTGGGATAAGCCTGTGGTACTGGTCTGACCCAACAGTGGGATAAGTCTGTGGTACTGGTCTGACCCCACGGTGGGATAAGCCTGTGGTACTGGTCTGACCCCACAGTAGGATAAGCCTGTGGTACTGGTCTGACCCCACAGTGGGATAAGCCTGTGGTAATGGGGTACTAAACTGACCTTGAATTGCAACAATGGAAAAGCATGGGTTACTCGGGACCCATTCTGCTGTATGCCTTAAAATAAGTTGAGTCAAAACCCAAGTCTTCAGTCTGATGAGAATAGATACCTCACTGAGCTGACCCCAGTCTTATTGAATTTTTAACGAGACAAATTATCTTCTCTCCACTTTTTCTGAGATCAAAGAACACACAGAAGGGCCTTAACTCTCTAAAACTAATCTTCCAACTGTGATAGAAAATTGAAGTTACGCCAAGCATTAGGCAGCTAACGCCCCAGTACAGTGCATGATGCAATTCTCCCTTCCCCTAGAATACATAAGACTGTCAGACTGGTAGCCAGCAGCCTCGGGTGGCATGCTGCATGCAGTGGGCAATCAGTCTGGAGATAACTGCAGTTAGCAGGGGGAATATGAGTAGACAGCTTATTATCGCCTTCATTTTCTGCAATAAAATGGGGAATGTACACCTAGATGAAGATCTCCACATGTGCAGCTACAATTCATCTGAACTGCTGTACACGAACTTGTTCAGGAAATGGGTGATATCAGCAACATGGGGCTTCGCCAGCTGCGTTCAATACAAGGACGTACTGACATTAACAGTGAGGATCTTAGCTATTTGTTTTATTTGTCTTGATTTGAGCCAAATTATTGTAAAATCACATGCATTATATGACACTGGTTGCAAGCATGGATCACCTCAATATTAACATTTATAAGCAGCATGGTTCAGAGCTATCAGACTGGATACTCATCAGTGACTAAGAGATTGTAACGCTCTTGTTGTCTGCAACTGTGAGTGTCCTGGTGTATGCTCCAAGGGAAGTACACTGGAATTATTGACATTCAGGGTCTAATCTAGGAAAGTGACATCTCGTGGATACATCTCTGTGAGATGGATTAATGCAGCTAGATCGGAGCTAATGCCACCAGGATCTACTTCATGGACACAACACACAGGGTGGGGGCCCTGATCGGGTGGTGCAACAACACGTGGCAATATGTAAGGTTAACTGTCAGATGCTGCACATGTATTGGAAGCCTTGATAGTTCTGGCCACAGATTTGAATCAGAAATTTCCTCCTTCTTGCTATCATAAATTAGATTATTGCAGAGATGTAGCGTATCACTGATAACAAGTCAAGTAAGATAGAGTGACTTGTATACTTTTATCATACCTTAAATTTAAATATTACTCTTTAGTTGTTGACTTAACTGCATTGCCTAAACTGCATAAATATCTCTTAATCTAAAAACATCCCAATTTGAGAAAAGCAGCTTTTCCAGTATAAATTCCACAAATGGCTACCAAGTGCCATTCATCTGGAATCGTAGAGATCTTGGGGAACTGTGGTCCGTGAGGTTTGCTCTAATAGCACAGATTATAGCACTTAAGTGTTTTAATAAAAGGAACTCCAAACTCTTCAAAAGTTTAGGATTACACCCAAGAGAACAACCCTTAGAAGTGCATGTTTAAGGTGGTAGGCTGTCAGTGGGGAGCAAGTACTTACCATACATAACCTTGCTGTACACACCATGGCTCACAATATTACAGAGGAATCACTATACCGGTGTTGTGAGACAAAGTTAGTCCCAGATATGAAGTTGCCTTACTTACTTCTATACATATATATAGACCCAAAATAGTTTTATTAAGTCAAAATGAAGCCCAGAGCACTGAGACAATCTGACCTGCCTAACACCTAAAGGCTTTAGTTGGGTTTACTCAACATTATTGTGTTGGGTCTCCGGGACAGACCAGTGTGCTGTCAGTGTTTGGCTGGCAAACTGCCGCTTCACAAGTGTAATCCTTTTAAGTGACAATTTGAAGATCAAATTGGTCAAATGAAATTTTCAAATATTATAGTGGAAAACCTCAAGGCTCCTTAAATATAATAAATTTCTTAGTCTGCCTAATTTATCAGGTCAAATATTTCCTTTCTTGCATTCATACCAGAAATATGTCTATGGGTATGCATTTATCGGGTATCGAGCTATCATGGGGCATGTTTTAGTCAAATAACATGATCAGAACACCCCTCAAGTTATGTGTTTTTTCCCCAGAACACTTAAATTTCGAGAAAACACCCAAATAGTGAACGCACATTTCTGCAAAGTTGCTGATTGACACTGCAGGTTGTGTGAACGTGGAGAACGGTTAGTGATTCATTGTTGATAAGCTCAGTCTAAAGTCTACAGAAATGAATGGCTGTAAGATATACATAGGTTTGTTTATTCAAAGTGTTTTGCCATGGTCATAAATATATGTTGAGGTAGGTATGGAGGTAGGTGTATAAGTGTAAAAGACATCCTCCACCTGCACTGTCAATACTTGAAGCCTACCCTATGTTCAGCAGTAGTTACCCAGTAACTCAACATATCATAGAACCACACCAGTCGTGTGTGTGTATCAACAGGTGTCTCTCAGTGAATGGACTGAAGCTGCTGAAGCGTGTGATGAAGAATGGGAGGATGAACAGGCATGTTATGGTTCTCCAACCCTCAAGCTGACGGTCAATACAGCATCCAGCTAGTATACCTGGAAAGGTACTGGAGGTGTTGAGCCAAGGTGGAATACAGTGCTCTAACACAGACTGATACTACAGGAAGTCACTGTAGGATGGATAGGCACTGGAGGTGTTGACCCAAGGTGGAATACAGTGCTCTAACAGAGACTGATACTACAGGAAGTCACTGTAGGATGGATAGGCACTGGAGGTGTTGACACAAGGTGAAATACAGAGCTCTAACAGAGACTGATACTACAGGAAGTCACTGTAGGATGGATAGGTACTGGAGGTGTTGACCCAAGGTGGAATACAGTGCTCTAACAGAGACTGATACTACAGGAAGTCACTGTAGGATGGATAGGTACTGGAGGTGTTGACACAAGGTGGAATACAGTGCTCTAACAGAGACTGATACTACAGGAAGTCACTGTAGGATGGATAGGTACTGGAGGTGTTGACCCAAGGTGGAATACAGTGCTCTAACAGAGACTGATACTACAGGAAGTCACTGTAGTATGGATGGGTACTGGAGGTGTTGACCCAAGGTGGAATACAGTGCTCTACCCAAGACTGATACTACAGGAAGTCACTGTAGTATGGATAGGTACTGGAGGTGTTGACCCAAGGTGGAATACAGTGCTCTAACAGAGACTGATACTACAGGAAGTCACTGTAGGATGGATAGGTACTGGAGGTGTTGACCCAAGGTGGAATACAGTGCTCTAACAGAGACTGATACTACAGGAAGTCACTGTAGGATGGATAGGTACTGGAGGTGTTGACCCAAGGTGGAATACAGTGCTCTAACAGAGACTGATACTACAGGAAGTCACTGTAGTATGGATAGGTACTGGAGGTGTTGACCCAAGGTGGAATACAGTGCTCTAACAGAGACTGATACTACAGGAAGTCACTGTAGGACAATCTGTGTCATCTGAGTCCATGACAAATGTCAAGTATTTTCAGCATGGCAAACACAGCTTACTCTGGGTGCAAACAGAATTACCTTCCTCAAACATTCCCTTCCTAACATACACACAAGCGACCCTTTTCACAGAAAAATTAATCCCCAAGCACATTCCAGTGAGAGATTTATATTGGCTTTGTGGTAATCAGAAATATTTTCCCTGTGGTGAGGACACGGAGGGTCAGCGACAAACATGGCCTTGTGTCCTCGACTAAAATCTTTATACATTACCATAGAGGCCTCTTTCTGGAATTCCCCGAGAGCATTCATGTAGCCATTGGAACTGAGGTAGTCAGCAATAGCCTTGTTCCTGGAAATAAACAAATCCATTGTCAACAACATTCTACACACATCAACAGAGAGGTATCACTGAGCCAGCCAGCTAATAACTCAGCAACTCAGAGGATGATACCAAATGTATTGATCAGGGTTAAAATTATATTTTTTTTATTAATACCGTACCCCCCTGTACCTGGTAAAAGTAGCAGATCAAATGGTATTAGGTATTTATGAATTTTATCAGTTTTAGATCCATGTTAATTCTGAACCCTGATCAATCTACTTGTGGAGTAAAGTGCATTATGTAGCAACATCACAACAAAACCATCACCCATGTGGCTACACCACTGCATCAAGAAAATTGTGAGTGAGTGAGTGAGTGAGTGAGTGAGTGAGTGAGTGAGTGAGTTTAACACCTGTTTGTACAGTTGTATCACAATGTGTGAACTTGATGTGAGTGGAAAGTGATCTGATGCGTGAACATGCTCTCAACTCATCTCAAGCTGCATAGACTCGTCAAGACCCACAATATTCAGATATTATGAGTTGTGTGTATATTGGAACCATCCACATTTCATGCTCTCAACAATAAAGAAACAATGTACAACACGCCCACTGACACAATGCTCCAGGACCTGCCTACATGATTCCTTCACTATGAGAGTCAGGCAGCACGCTTTACACTTTAACCTGGTACAGGGTATTTTTAAACATTCCCTTTGCAAATATCTACAACATTTCACAAGTCCTTTATAATGATGCAGACACCATACAGCATAAATGTCCTCCTCATTCACAGAAAGACCATACACCAATAGATTAAAAGTTTTAATAGGGCCAGTTTTTAAAAAAATCTTACCTGTTGAAACCAGAAATACAGGTATGCAGGAGAATGTGATGGTTTGTGTGGAATGTGTGTGGAATGTGTGTGCAATGTGTGTCAAGTTAGGTGAAAGGATCTGCAGGGTTTACACAGTGCAGTGAACATGGACTATCAATGGAGCAGCTGTCAGTCTCTTGTCACTAACCATGCTAACAAGGGAAGCTAGTTTACTGAATCTGATAGCAGGCACATGCTAGAGTACATGATGTTTCTATGGTGACATTATACATAGAAAATGCATATGCCTTTGTCTTTGTGAAATACAAGAATGTACTATGAATCATTCCATATTCATAATTTATTGTTTTAACAAACAATGGCCCAAATATTTCAGTCAATGCAGTTTTATTTGTGTCAGACATTAACATAATAATGTTTATGTTAACATATCCACAATCATGAGGAATGTCTGGACCAGACAATCCAGTGACTGAGCATGATGACACAATCTACAAAGTCCCAGAACCTGATCAGTGATCATGTGATCTATTACGACCTGTATCAGTTGCTGGGGATCTATTCTCACCCAGAATCCCCACCGTGGTCAAAGAAAGCAATAAGAACAGATTAAAGTGACAGAGGATTGTGACTTAATTTACTTTGACCTAAAGACGTCTTGGTCATGTTCTACCAAATCTGCAGGATCAACTGACCACTAAGCCTACAGTCAGCATCAAAGGGTTATCTGACTATCTCACTAATGACATGGACCAACACAGCAGTATAATGTCAACAGTGGACAAAGACCTCTTGAGTCCCAGTCTACTGCACCATTGTCCCGAGTCAGCAGTACTTGGGGCCATGGCCACATCTACATCATGTCCTTCCCACAAAGTGCATGTCACCCTCCCTGGCTGTACTTGAAGGAAGGTCAAGTCACAGCAGTAGGCAATAGATCTGTCCACTTTCAAAAACACTAGCTCACTGTCATCCAAAATGCTAGAATTTTTTAAATTTTGAATTGGTTTGATATCCTGTATTAAGTGAGTGAGTATGGTTTTACGCCGCTTTTAGCAATATTCCAGCAATATCACGGCGGGGGACACCAGAAATGAGCTTCACACATTGTACCCATGTGGAGAATCGAACCCGGATGAGCCAACGCTTTAACCACTAGGCTACCCCTTCTACAAACAATCATTAATCATGATCAAGAATTTGCTACACTGTAAAATTGAACAATTCCTAACAATTTACAAACAGTGTTAAGAAACAATCTCCAAGATATGTCCTGATATTTACAATCCTAACTAAATACTGTGTATTACCAGTTTCCTCACTCCTCATATTGTTTCCATGTCATTATACTACAGGTTTCTCCAAGTGAAATTGCTGCTACGATGAACATCATTTGTATGTGGAATGTATCTGTGTACTTCTACATCTTTGTACCTACTGTGTTATATTTGTAGTTTATAGAATATTGCCATTGTTCCTTCACGGAATGCTATGCAATAAAATATCTTATAAGAATATCCATGAATATCAAGAAATTGAGAAACTGTCTGAATGCTATTCATGTCATGTAAATCACCACAGCCATAGAACTGTTGCTTTGGCCTAACATACCAGACTACTTGCATGGCCAAACATGACTGGGCACTGAGGATGTTGACAAGGTAAAATAGTTCCAATCAACAAAACCTGACTGACAAATTGGGGAGGCTAATGCCAGCCTCTCATATACTCCTGTTCAAAGTTTCAATCAGTCTGACAATCTAGTACAGGTATTAACTGTTCCAGGAACTCAGCAGGATTCTACTAACTGTATTTCAGCCATGAGTGTATAATTCCCAGACATTCCTGACATTTCTGAGGGTCGTCTGTCACCACCTGGTCATGTGAGGCAGCCGCCGGCTGATAAGACGACTGACATGTCATATTTACATGAGATAGTTATACAAGGGACACTGAACCGTGTCATCTGACTGCTGGTATCAGCTGACGACATACATAAACACACTTCCACAATTCCAGTTTCACCCATTCCATACATCCTCAAGTACACTTCAAACACGATGCTTGCTTATGATCTAAGCCAGAGTGCTTCAGTTACCACTGAATATTAATGTCACTCATATATCGTTGCAAATAAAATGAAATTTCATAAACAGAAGTTAAAGAAGAGAGTTTTTATCGATGTCAGCTCCTTTATTATGAGGAACTGTCTTGTTAAACAAAAACTGTTAGGGTATGTACTGCACCAATAGAGCTTGGTTTTCAAGAATGGCCCTCTTTAGTTACCTAGAGACACATTAGTGAGTGAGTGAGTTGGTTCTACCACTGCTCTGAGCAGTACTTCAGTTGTCTCTGGCGTGGAACTCAATGTAGGAGGTAGGCTCGTACTCTCTCTCACAGTCCCTGAACCAGCCTAGACCTCCCTGCAAACTTAAAGTCCTCAATGAAGCAAGTCTAGGTTTCCACAAGTTCTCAACCTCCCATCTCACTAGGGCTTCTTTTCAATTTGGGATCAATTGTTACTATATAACATCTATACATTCAGAGATTAAGTGTGAGTGTAGTGGGCCTGAAGTATGCAGGTCTCCGAATGTTTACCCACATTGATGGACCTCATAAGCCCGGATATAGTTGTAACATACCTAGAAACACTCAGGGTGGACAAGGATTTCAGACATCCAAGGGATCACTAATGTACGACAAACCTACACCTGGGCAGTATTTGGTATGTAGTATGACTAGTATGTACCCACGCACACAATCAGACATTGTAACCTACCTGGGTGCCATCAGAAACCCTTATACTTCTATTTAAGGTAACAGGGATTGCATGTTCAGGAGATACAATTTAATATTTTGTTCATAGAATGTTTAGGTTTGCTGTTAGTTGAATGTTGCACTGCATATAAGCTACAGCAACAATCATATGTGGAATCAACTGTTGCCACATTCATCCAAAACACTGAATGTGCTGCATATCTGTTCTTGAGAGATTTCACTTGTACTAGTTGTAGCATGTTCAGGCACATAATTATTCTACCAAGCATACCACGTGGATAATTTATTTCCACAAGAGCAAATGCCGTGACTAAATAATGTCAACATAACTTCTTCCCCAAACAGTAACTGGAGCTGGGAAACCAACATTGGTGCAGTACATCACAGTGGTTGGCAGACAGAACAACACTGCCTGATTCCTCAACCTCTACCCCAGTCAGCGTGGAACCCTACCCCAGTCAGAGTGGAACCCCACCCCAGTCAGAGTGGAACCCTACCCCAGTCAGAGTGGAACCCTACCCCAGTCAGCGTGGAACCCTACCCCAGTTAGTGGAACCCTACCCCAGTTAGTGTGGAACCCTACTCCAGTCAACATGGAACCCTACCCCAGTCAGAGTGGAACCCTACCCCAGTCAGAGTGGAACCCTACCCCAGTTAGTGTGGAGCCCTACTCCAGTCAACATGGAACCCTACCCCAGTCAGAGTGGAACCCTACCCCAGTTAGTGTGGAGCCCTACTCCAGTCAACATGGAACCCTACCCTAGTCAGTGAACACTTCTACAGATATTATCACGCCCAAGTAATGAAGCGATGGCTGAGAAAGCAAGATTTCCAATCCGGGTTATGTTGTGTTTAAATTGTGGGTGGGTCTCTGCATCCATTGTTAGTACCAGTAGTTTGTAACCTTCTTGCAGAGAGTAAACATATGTAATGCATGTGTAACAACTGATCACATTCTATGATAATCTGTCTCTCTACAGGGTTATCCTGGTAGGGACATCCATGATAACTCAAAACTGGCAACAGAGGGACAACTCAGCTTCGACTTGCCGCTGTCGGTGAAACAACTTGTCTGAATACTGACAACGGTGTATTTAGGGGTATGGAACACACAGATAGGGAAGATACGAGTACAGAAAAGGCGATGGAAATATCACCAACACTTTTGGCTTGCAATTAACAAACTACCAACACCAACATATGGTCTGTAATCAAGGCATCAAAGAGCAGCAGCTATTGAACACATCCTGGTAAGCATGTGCCTGAACACATGGTCCCTCCCAATGGCAGAAGCATCTGTGTGATGACCCTGGGCACCATGTGGTCAGTACAGCCTGGTGGTAGATGGTGACAACCACAACAACAACAGCTGGGCAGGCTGCACATATAGGTTAACATCATTGATCACTGAT